ATCAGAGGGTCTCCAGTAGCTTCCTTGAGGTGTATATCTAGGATCGCCTTTTAGCAGAGTTGGTTGGTTCACCAGCTATGACAATCTCTACTTACTTTTAGTGGGCTATTGCCAGGGCAATCCTATGTGTCCATTCAGCAGTAAGCCTCATTGAGTTATTATTAATAAATTCATTTATGAATCACTTCCCATGAAGCATCCCAGTGATTTACAATATCATGAAACAATTACACATACAAAAGCAATTAAAACAATGGAAAAATAAAACAATTATGAAAACAGTTTAAAGCAACAACAGTGCATACATAAAGTCAATTCAAACCCAAGACAGATACCAACTAGAATAAAGATTTTGGAAGGTTTGAACAAGGAAGGTATTTAGCAAGCACCCCCCAAAACAAATACACAACAACAACCACAAAAGACAACAGAGAAGGTGCCTGTCTGATAATGCTACTTCTGTGTAGACATGTGTAGGATTGGACTGCAGTGCCTGGCATTACTGTTTTGATGCTGCCTTTCAGTGCTTGTTTTATTGATTATGGTTTAAATTGATTTGCCATATTGCTTTTAATCATATACTGCTTTTAGTGCACCTGTGCACAAAAGTGACCTATAGTTAATGTGATAACAAATAAAAGAAAGGTTAATATTAAGGTGGTTGATATCTGTCAGTAAAACCCAACAATATTAAAATGAGCAAATCTGTTTTCTGTACTTGCATTAGGCAACATTGCTCAATGCTTGTAAAAAATAATTTGGAATAATAATGATTAGGCAAAACTGATTGGTGCAGGGAAGATTTATTAACCATAGGGATTCCAAATTTCCCAGAGCTTTTCATACTTAAGTGATCTTCCTCAGGGGAAATTATTTGACAAATAATAATAAAAAATATTATATTCAGATTGAATTACCTCCCCCAACTTACCCCTCCAGAATCAATAGAGTTATTCAGTAGTTGTAAGAAAAGAAAACATTCCATTCAGGTTTACTGGCCATAGAGAAGTTGCTCTCTCTATATTTGGCTACTACACTGATGTTCGGAACACACAGGAAAATTTGAAAACCAGCTTGCTAATAAATCTTTCCTGCGCCCCCTGGTTTTGCACCATTCAACACACCCATCTTTCCAATCATATGTGCTGGAAATTAGCTTTGTAAAAAGAAACATGAGACGCTCAGTAGCAAATTCTGTGCTTCAACTATGCTTGTGTGCAATCATGGAATATATAGGTCTGATTTAAATTATGTCTGTTTTAAGCAGATATACTCTGCTGAAATCTAGAATGTTAACCTCAAAACATCAAATTAAGTTGATGGTTCTTGGTCTATCATAGTCTTCATGGCAACTTTGGTTCAGAAGGTTATCTGTGCTTTGCTTCTAACCCATGGGTAGGATCTGGCCCAGTTGCCTTCTAAATCCGGCCTGCAGACAGTCCAGGAATCAGCATGTTTTTACATGAGTAGAATGTGTCCTTTTATTTAAAATGATTCTCTGGGTTATTTGTGACGAAGAAGAGTTTGGATTTGATATCCCGCATTATCACTACCTGAAGGAGTCTCAAAGCGGCTAACAATCTCCTTTCCCTTCCTCCCCCACAACAAACACTCTGTGAGGTGAGTGGGGCTGAGAGACTTCAGAGAAGTGTGACTAGCCCAAGGTCACCCAGCAGCTGCATGTGGAGGAGTGGAAACGCGAACCTGGCTCCCCAGATTACGAGGCTACCGCTCTTAACCACTACACCACACTGGCTCTGCAGGGCCTGCCTGGTGTTTTTACATGTGTAGAATGTGTGCTTTTATTTAAAACACATCTCTGGGTTATTTGTGGTGTATAGGAATTCGTTCATTATTTTTTTCAAAATATAGTCCTGCCCCCCACAAGGTCTGAGGGATAGTGGACCGGCCCCCTGCTGAAAAAGTTTGCTGACCCCTGTTCTAACCCATAGTCCCTCCCCACAAGAAGAGTAGCAAAATCTCCACAACTGTATGCCTTTAGTGCTTCTCCTCCATCTTTATAAAAGGACAAGGTTTCTGATGTGGTGATGTATCAGACAAGTGAACCCACGGCAACTAGGCACCTATACAGTATTATAAGATACAAGAGGTGCCAACTACCTACACTTTCCAGGAACAATTGGAGAGTTTTCTTTGTTTCAACAAGCTTTCCCCACTAGATGACAAAGTCTCCACCAAAGTGTTTGTTGTGGGCCCAGTCATAGTGGAGTTAGTGGCGGGGTGACAGCACATACAAAAGAGATGGGACAAGCGCTTTGGAATGAAATAAGGCCACAGCTTTCATTGATGACAGATGTCAGATGGATGGACGTAGGCATTGGGTGTGTCTGTTGGTTGATGGATAAATGGAGTTGACCAAGGTCAGCTCCATCACAAGGAGCTTCAAATGCCCGCAGCCACAGCAACTGTGCCATGGCTTAGAAGCATAGAATCTTAGAGTTGGAATGGGACCAATGGTCATCTAGCCCAACCCCCTGCAATGCAGGAATCTCAGCTAAAGCATCCATGACAGATGGCCTTCCAACCTCTGCTTGAAAACCTCCAAATAAGGCTTGAGTGGATGGAACACAGAGGGTACACATAGAAAAAAATGCAACATTAGTACACCTAGAAAAAAATGCAACATTCCCCCAAGTGTGAAAGGTCAGTTGCAATTCTACTTGTGGCTTACAATGAAAAAATTATTGATTAAGTAGTGCTAGACTAGGAGCACCGTTCATCGTAAAAGAGGCACATCTAAGTGCCTTGAATTAAGTTACCTTCAAAGAAAGCAACCTGTAATAGGAGTGTGTAAGTTGTGGGTGGGTGAACTTTGTCAGCTATTTGATCATTGCTCAGACTCATCATCATCATCATCATCATCAAATTTTTATACCACCAGCCTTCACCCAAGTATCACAGGGCGGTTCACAACATAAAAATGCATAGTGAAAACACAAAATACATAATAAAACAAAAGCAAAAGCAAAACAAACCAGTATCCCCTATAGACACATTTAAAAGGACATAGAATGTTAATCAGTCACATGCTTGGCTGAAGAGAAACATTTTACATGGTGCTAAAACATACCGTACTGGCCTAAATATAAGCCTCACTTTCCCCCCGAATTCTGATCATGAAAAGTTAAAGTGTGGCTTATATTCTCGACCTTACGGTATGCAGCCAGGAGCGTAGAGCAAACAGCACCAACAGCATGGCAAAGTGGCGCCTGCCCCATCTGTAGTCCCCTGTCCTCCCCCCCAAGTCTGGGAAGGCAGAGAGCGAGGAAGGGGAAAGGCCGCTGGCAACGCAGCAAGGCTCCCCCACCCCAAGTATGCAGCCAGGAGCAGCAAGGAATGGAGCAGCTTATATTTGGGTATTTTTCCTCCCCCCCAAATTTTAAAGGTGCGGCTTATATTCGGGTATGGCTTATATTCAGGCCAATACGGTATGTAATGAAGGTGATAGGTGAGCCTCCTTGGAAGGGAATTCCACAAACAGGGATCCACCACAGAAAAGGCCCATTCTTGTATTGCCACACTCTAGACCTCTCATGGAGGGGGCACCCAAAGCGGGGTCTCAGTTGATGATTGCAAGGTCCGGGTCAGTTCATATGGTGAGAAGGGGTCCTTGAGGTATTGCGTTCCTCAGGCATTTAAGGCTTTATAGATCAAAACCAGCATTTTGAGTTGGCCTAGAAACTAATCAGCAGCCAAGTGCATTTGGGCTAGGATCCGTGTAAGCCTGTTTGAAAGTGAGTTTGAATATTAGATGCAGTCATAATGTACCATTTCAGGAAGGTTTGCGAGTCCTCCTAGATATTTTGGCTGCTTTAGCATCAGTTATTTTGTATCGTTGCACAATATATTGTTTTCCTGTTTTACTGGGCACTGCTGTGATTGCCCTATGTAGGAAGAGCAGGATAGAAGTTATTTCATACATACAGCGGAAACAAATTTGCAGATTGTGAGGCTAGCTGCCCTGAAGGTTGTGACTGCAATAGTAGGGTATAAGTATAAATTCAATAAATAATCTACCTCTGGCTGGGAATGGTGAGAGCAGTACGTGAGCCCCAATTCAAGTAAGTGCCACAAAGCCCACAAGAGGCGCTGGGGCATCTTCTGTACAGGTGGGTGTCATTTGCAGTTCAGGATAATCTGGCCCGGAAATAGAAGAGGCTGCAAAATCTCTGCTGGCAAAATCTCACTGGTTGACTTGGGTTGGACAGACCTGGCTGTCATTTGCTGCTGAAGACTGGGGCTAAGAAACCCTGGAATCTCAGGCTGTGAATAAACTCAGAACAAATGTACTACATACCTCTGTGTGTGTGTGAGAGAGAGAGCGAACACATGCATACCTGTGTTTTGGATGGAAATAAGCAGAAACAGTGTCCTAGCATGTGAATACTCTTGACATGATTCCATCAATGGCGTCTCCAAAAAAATTTACACATCATTTGGGAAGAAAGGTGAACTAGTGCCAGTGTACTGGGAGAAGCAAAGATCACCAGTGTCAAAGCAATGATTCTTCAACATCAGCTTCGTTGGACTGGTCATGTTCGTATGCCCGATTATCGTCTTCCAAAGCAACTACTCAATTCTGAACTTAAAAATGGAAAGTGTAATGCTGGTGGTCAGCAAAAGAGGTTCAAAGACTCTCTCAAGGCAAATCTTTAAAAATGTAGTATAAACATCAACAATTGGGAAACACTTGCCTGCAAGCTCTTCAATTGGAGAACAGCCTTTACCAAAGGTGTCATGGGCTTTGAAGACACTCGAACTCAGGACGCAAGGGAGAAACGTGCTAAGAGGAAGGCACGCTTGGCAAGCCCTCACCATGGTCAACTCCCGCCTGGAATCCTACGTCCCCACTGTGAAGGACGTGAGGATCCAGAACTGGCCTCAACAGTCACTTACGGACTCATTGTTAAAACCGTGTTTATGGAAGACAATCTTACTCGGCTACAAGTGATCGCCAAAGAAGACTCTTGACATGGTCCACAGGCCAACTTAAAGCGTTTAATGTCTAAAGAACATCCCCAGGTACACCAAATGAGGATAGTAGCTCAGTAGTAGAGCATCTGCTTTGCATGCAAAAGGTCTGAAACCCTGGAGAGCCATTGCCTATCATTGCAGACAACACTTAGCTTCAGGGACAAATGGTCTGACTCAGCTTTCCACATGCCACGTTCCTATCCCACTATAAAAAAATAGAAAGGCATATATTTGTCAATTACCTTTTTCAGCATGAGAGATAATGTAAACTATATGTTCTACCCACTATTTGAATTACACTTGCAGAACACTGTGCTGGATGAGAACATTTGCTTTCCATTTGCTGCCTAAAAATGATGCAAGATGGCATGCAGTCATTTCACAATCCTGACATCCAATATCATGGTGTAGTTTCAAATTCTCACACCCACAGCATTTTCCTTGCAAATAACATAGGGCATCTAATTCTCCATTTGTGTTAGGGAGATCACAGATACCATGGCACTTTGAAAAGTGCTGACAAACTAAACTTGGGTGTTTTACAAGGAAAGTTCCAAAGCAATTCTCCAGGTTCTTGCAATCCCTTTACTGACATCTAGTGGCATTTATACAAAATGCACTTTCAGGAATGTATGCATGCCTAGAAAAATCCTTTTTTTACTTTTTACACTAACTTTCAGCTAATGTTTAATAATGCAAGTATTGATGGAGCAAAGTCAGTTGGAGTTTGGGATCTGTTTCAAGGAAGTATTCATTAATAAAATCTTCAGCCACACTTTTTGTTTTAATGCAATCTTTCTGTTCAGTAATGCTATGACCGAAGCTAAAATCCATCAAGGAAAAACTTTGCAGGAAGTAATAGGATGAATCTGAGAACACTCTGAAAGAAAATTTGTTTCTCAAGGGTTCTTACATTACGGTTCATAGGAGATATCCTATTGGTGTGCATCCACTTACTTCTATTCCTCTCTTCCCTGGGTCCCCTAATCCGCTCTGGAAAATTGGGAGAGCAGATTTGGAGTCTGGGTGGGGACTGGAGGGCGGGCTCCAGAGTAGAATCGGAATAAAAAGAAATGGTCTCACTCCCTCTTCTGCTTCCATCATTGGAGGAACACCAACTGGATAAAACACTGTGAAATGATTTCTACTGCTCTGAGTGAGCTTCCAAACCAGGCAAAATTTTAAAAAAGCAGCAATTGAGCTGATAATATATCTTCTGGAATTAGAGGCAATACATGCAAGCCTCACAAATAGTTTCCAGTAAGTGTCAGATAACGTTAAAAAAACAGAAACCAGGATGCAGCTTCACATCATATTTTTATTCTTTACGACTCTGATTACCAGGTGCCGGGGGTGGGGCGGGACAACAGAGCCTTGCTTGCGCCTTGCTTGAGAGTTTCTGTGATGTAACTGGCTGCCGCTGGAAACGGAGGGTGAATGTTGGACTAGATTAAGGGCATTTGGTTTGATCCTGCAGGTCAGTTATTTCATGCTTACCTGTTCCCTACAACCAGTTCAACAGCTCTGTTGTAGGTTTCCTAGTAGCATCTGGCTGGCCATTGATTGAGGCAGGATGTTGGGCTAGTCAGGGGTGGGTAACCTATGTCCCTCCAGATGTTGTGGGACTCCAACTCCCATCAGCACCAGCCAGGGTGTCCAGTGGTCAGGTAGTCCAACAAACTGTGGAGGGCCACACGTTCTCCACCTCATGATTACACAAACCCCTTTAGGTCCAGCAGGGATTTTTTTATGTTCTTAACTCTTAAATTACATTCTCTGATTGTTCTTGAAGTTTTCCAAAATGCCCAACATTCTAGCACACTTTTTGCTAAATTTGGGGTGTGCAAAAACCAATTTGTCACCGGCTAGCTGCCTGGGTGGCTCCAGCAAAGCTTTCTGTATGTGTAATGGAGGTCAAGGAGGCAGCAAGGCAAACATGGAAGCCAGACCTGAAACAAAAATGTCTCACGGCCCATAAGGAAGTGAATCCTCTTGGAACAAGGGCCATAGAATATTGGAAACTAATGCAGAATAACCCTGTGGATGTTTTTGCACATTTACATAATAAGAGCTAAATCAATTAGTACTTGATTAGTAATTATTTATATTGAAAGACAAGTGCATTGTTTGTTCATTCAAGTTCACATCGGACAGCTGTTGGTGCGTATTTGTCAGAGGCTTGCAACCCATTAACTCAGAACACACCAACGAGAACATTTTAAACATTTTACTAAATCAATTCACACAAATCCCAAATTGCAATTATAATTAAGGGCAACAGGGTTCTTTTCTCCTCAGATCCATCATTGGGACAAGACGTAAACACAAATAAGATGTGTAGCATCTTTTCTTCTTCTTTTAAAAAAACGAGAAAGGAACGCCACTTGATAAAGCACCACAACACAGTTACAAAATAGGGTCTGCCGGTTTCTTCCACGATTAACAGACTATGTACTGCTAACAACTTCTGCATCAATCTGTACTTCATTAAAATAAAACTATAAAATCTCCTAGATTACACTAAATTCAGACAATGCCTGGAATACAGTGCATCAACAGCAGTAATGCCAACTATCAGTGCCAACATAAAAACATTTTAGAAAGTCAAAAAAGCCCTACCTCTATTCCCCTAGATGAGCAAAATTTAAAATAAGGGCTGCTCTGTCTCACAATGAGGAATAAAGAATTGGAGGGGGAGGGGCAAGGAGGCAGGGACTCTTTGCTTTCACGACTTAGTTGGCATCTAACTTGGCCATTTCTTGCACATAAATCCCTATACTCTCACTGTCAAAGAGCACAAAATAGACGGTCTTGATTGAAGAGGACATTGTTGACACAAAATAGCTGGAAATGGCTTTCAGGATCAGCTGGGCAGCAGTCTGTTTTGGGAAACCATTCCTATTAGGAGAAAATAGGGAGAAAGAAAAAAAGATAACGTTGGCTCAATAAGCTTGCCGTTTGCAACACCATACTTTCCAAAGAACACTTATTTGCCATATATATTACCAAATTGTAACCAGGCTTCTATAGCAGGATGCCTAGGTTGCAAGTCCTAGGGGGAAAGTCTGATGACTAAAAGACATGGGTCTGATGTCAAGATTCACTGAGTGCCAAATTAGATGAGATGCTATTCATACAATTAGCAAAGACAAAAAATGGGCATTTTGAAGTGCAAGATCCCCCAACAGGGATCAGATCCCTAGTGTGGCAGATTGGTTTGTTTTTTAAATCATTGACATCCCTGGATTCCTCCCCATTGGCATGCTTAATGTTTACATTGGTGTATTGATCAGGACCACAGTGGGAGGAGGGAAAGGGTTAAAGCCCACAGCGTGGTGCCAGGGTCCTATCATTTGCTTCTAATAAGCCACTCATGCAATTGCAAACTGCACAAATGGCATTGCATCTAGTGTGCCCCACAGAAACTTGCAGAAGTATATATTGTTTATGCAGATGCGATGTTAATTTTAACTCAAGCTTTGTTAGATTACCTCTGAAACATTTCAACCTGTATTTGTATATTCTAGGAGAAAAATGAATTCTTGGTTGTCCTAATAGGGATATCTCAATAAGGCAGGCTCATGTTACAGTTTTACAGAACTGCTTCTCACTCGTACGGAGATGTGTGTATGTGGTTATGGGCGAACAGCCATACCTGTGTCAATGTGTGATTGGGATAGGGTATTGAGGGTTTTGGGGAGACAGACACTAAAATGGAAACCAGATATTATTTAATGCTGAAATTTTGCACTAAAAGAAGGTCTGATATTGAAATCCGAACTACCCATAGTAATTATTTTTTAGTTCTGGTATACAGAACTTTACAACTATTTTTTCCAGAGATCTCTTACACATTTGGTCTAGATAAGTTAGCTCCAGTATATTACAGCATCTGGCAGACTAACTGCTATAAATGGTCTAATCCTCCCACTGAAAAGGGAATATCGATCTATCTCATGCCCATGTAAACCCATTTTTCAGTCATAAACATGAATGGGGCTGTTTATGAAGGTTTAATGAGGAGTGTCTGCTTGACAGATGCCTGTCCCACAACCCGTGCTGGCTCAGAGAGAAAATGCTAGCCTTAGAAACTGTTCCTGTTTTAAAATAGGTTTGTTACTTCCTAAAACTTGTAAACTGAAATAGCAAGATGGGCATGTCATGCTTTGAAGGAACGCACTTGTCATTGAAAGTGACCTCTGTCATTTAAATATTAAACTTCTCTTCCATCACACACTACTAAACACTGTCTCCTTTTCCTATTGTTTTAAAGTTGAGACCTTCATGCCCCTCCGCACTTGATAGAATTTGGTCAAAACAGCTCTGTGAAGGAGCCAATGACAGGAAGGGCCGTAATTCAACGGGAGAGCATCTGCTTTCTATGTAGATCCCTGGTTCAAACCTTGGCATCTCTAGGTAGGGTTTGGCATGTCCTGACTGAAGCCCTAAACAGCTGCATTGCTGAGCTAATGGTCTGACTCAGTGTAAGACAACATCCTACGCTAAGATGAGTCAACCTTTGAAAAGTAGCCTATTCCCTTGAAAAAATGCTAGTGTTGGCACCACCCATCAAGCAAACAGTACAGCGCCATTTTTCAGATTGCAGTACCTCTTCAAATGTGTTTTTGCCATATTTGCCATCTATGCATTCTTTTAATATTGTTATTTTGGCTCCTGCCTAAAGTGAAAAAGCTCTTTCAGCCTGCACTTCCAAGACTGACCAGCCAGTCTTGAAAGTGGGCAGGAACAGAGAGATACAGAGTGTTTGGAAAATGCTTTCACAGTTCTGGAATGGGTGAATGCAAAACTAGCTTTCTTCCACTGCTGCTTACTGGGAGGGAGACTGGAGGAAAGGGAAAGAAGCACTCTCCTGAAAAACCAGCTTTCCCCAAGCTAGTTATTTTTGATTGCCACTTCTTCTGTCTCCAACCAGCATAGATAGTGGCCAGGGGTGACGAGAGAGGTATCCCAAAAGATCCAGAGGTCAGCATGTTGTGGAAAGTTGACATCTATCATTCACACATTACTTTATAACAAGGAGCACGCAGCAAAACATACCTGCCACCTGCCTTGAACTCTGGAAGAAGTCACCAGTAGCAGAGATGGTCCAACAAGTATTTTCCCTCATGGAATATATCTGGACTCAGGATTCTCAAGTCACATTCCCTCCCCAGCCACACCCACATCTCTCACAGTCCCTGCTTTGCACCCATCTTAAATGTTTTTGCCTGGCTGGATTAAGAGGATGGCAGAACACAAAGGTGCATAAAGCCCAAAGCAAAACAAAACCACCCCAAATCTGATAGGGTTTTGTTTAACAGGCCAGCCTTACCTGCCACTTCCAATAGAAGGAAACGCAATTGACTTCAGCTTCTTCTCATCTGCCAGAGCCAAGCAGTTCTTCACTGTCTTCTCCAATAGCTCCTCGCATTTGTCTGCACCCCAACTGGGGCTATTGCAATGGATCACAAACTTAGCAGGCAATCCATGGCCTGCACTGACGACAGCTGGTTGGAAAAGGAAAGTTAAGTATGGCTTACTTCAAGCTTCTCAACGTTTTGAAAAATGCAAATGTGGCTGAACTAGTGAAGCATGTATATAGTTACTACTTTAATCCTTAAATTCCAGTGGACTGAATGGAACTACGTGAACGGCAGTTCTCCATGGTCAACTCCCATCTGAGCACATGGTTGTGAAACACATGACTTAATTACCTCCCCCCACTTTAAAATTGGGTACAACACAACATCCCCTGTAGGTTCAATTGCTGATACTCAGTCAGCCTCCCTCAGTCTGGTGCCCTCCCAAGGTTTTGGCCTACAACTCCCATCAGCCCCATCCAATGTTGGATGGGACCAATGGGAGTTACTGTCCACAACACCAGGTTGGAAAAAGCTGTTCTAGACAATGTCTAAGTGCCCATGTGTTTCTAATATCTTTAAACCCTGATGCCCACGTGAGCATAGAATCCTGAATAAATGCACATACTACGGATAGGTTAAAACTATGTACACAGGTAACTCTTCCATAAGGAATTTCTGCAAAGGCCAACTGGGAGTCTATGATACACACATTTCGCTCACACCCCCCCCACCCCGATTTCTCAGGGATTTAAACTGCACCTCCAGCTGTGTCCAATGGCCCGTTCTTTTTGCGAAGTTCGACCACGGCCTCCAGGAATTCTTTTCCGCCTTTCTTCTCCAAAGTGCTCCCTGCACAAGGATAGAGTTGTGACTGTTCCGCATCCAAGAGAGAGCATTCATCACTTCAGGCAATTACATGGCATAATTTCTCCGAGCAAAAAGATTTTGGGGACTGCAAAGTAAGATCTAAACCTTTGGGGACGAGTCCAGAATAACTATTCTCTCCCTCTCTTTCTCTCTGTTGTTTTTTTAAGATCACCCTCCCACACATTTTCATTCTGTCTGAAAGTATTTTCTGATGCAATTCTCAATGTCGGCCAGCAGGGCGGTGACATCCCTAGCGCCTTCGTCTGCACCAGGCAACAGACAATGTTCCAGAGAACATGCTCATTCAGTGCCACTCGATCGATGTACCAACTTTTTCCCTTAGAGGGCGAGATCCCCTTTCTGACACAGATTGCTTTAAAGACAAGTTTGCCATAAGAAGAACTTGAAACTCACCTCATCTTCATCCCTGACCCCAACAGATGGCCCCCGGGAGTGAAACAGTCTTGTGAGTGCAGCGAGCTGCTTTACTTGACAACTGCCCAGCTTGTTGAACCACCTTTAACCAAGAGGAAGAGCCTCAGTAATAAGGAGATTCTCTAGGGAACATATCCCTCTGCTGAATCGCTTAACTGCGGCTAAAGAAGCTTGACAAAAGCTGCTCTTGTGTAGGACGGGAGCTGCACAATTTCAATTACAGCCTGAGGTTTGCACAAAGGCAGTCCACCACTAAATGGTTTAGATCTTATTTTGCAGCTTTTACTTTAACACAGAAGAAATATAAAGTAGCTCAAAAAAAAAATGTTTTTTTTCCTAATTATAAGCACCCAAACCACAGTGCATTTTGCTTAAAGGTCGTACAAGTAGCAAGGCAAGGAAACGATGACATTGGGTTCTGGATTGAGACAGATGCTTGGCAAACTGATTCCTGCAGCCTAATTGTAAACATATTTACTTGGGAAGTAAAATGCTTCTTTCAGTGGAACTTTCAAGTGCTCAGGGTCATAGGCTGTGGTATTAAGGATGCAACCCTACACACACTTACTACTGAACTCTGCAAGGCTTACACCCAAGTAAACATGCATAGGATTGGGCTGTTAGTATTAAAAGCCACAATGCTGCCATACTTTGTGAAATGAATTAACTTTAGTCATACAGACAAGGGGACTGCAGTTTCTGATGGAAGTGCACACATTGTATGCTCAGTGAAATACTTTCGGATTTGGGATTGTGCCTCAAAAGAAGAGTTCTGCATACGCTACTGAAGATGTGTTATGTTTTGCTTGACGACACAGACTAATCTTATCAGACTTCTAACAAGGTATTAATTCATTTTATTCTACTTCGTAAAGAATATGGAACGAGTTTCAGCTCAGAGGTTTATGGTACTCTCTTAAGAGATAATTAAAGGTAAAGGGGCCCCTGACCATTAGGTCCAGCCATGACTGACTCTGGGGTTGCAGCACTCATCTCGCTTTATTGGGCGAGGGAGCCGGCGTACAGCTTCCGGGTCATGTGGTCAGTATGACTAAGCAGCTTCTGGCAAACCAGAGCAGCGCACAGAAACGCCGTTTACCTTCCCGCTGGAGCAGTACCTATTTATCTACTTGCACTTAGACATGCTTTCGAACTGCTAGGTTGGCAGGAGCAGGGACCAAGTAACGGGAACTCACCCCGTTGCGGGGATTCGAACCGCTGACGTTCTGATCGGCAAGTCCTAGGCTCTATGGTTTAACCCACAGCGTCACCCGCGTCCAGGTTTTGCCCTATAAGAAGGCTCTAATCTAAGTTTCATTAAATGGTTTTTGTCAAGTTTGGGTTTGATTATTGAAACTTGCATTTATTGAGCTCCATCTATGGATTGTTTAAACACTGATTAATAGCATTCGGGAGAACAGATATTTGTTCTTCCTTTAAACTGCTTATACCTTTGCCTGTGTGCATACGTTTATCAATTATATGTATTAGCTTTAGAGATGTAAAAGTCAAATGGCACTGCCACAGTGGTTAAAAGCAGTGCTTTTTCAGGGGGTACTCAAGGATAAACAGGACTGGAATGTCTTGGGGGGGCTTTAAAAGTTTTTTTGGGGAGCTTAAAAAGTTTTTTGGGGGGGCTTAAAAAAACTCACTTCAAGGTGAGTATGAGCACCTGTTTTTCTAGGAGGGGGGAAGCACTGGTTGAAAGTATTATAATAAATAATTGGAAATTGGCTGCCTTTTAATGATTTATTCAGATCTGCTAACCCTGATAAACATTTTTGTTTATGGTGTTACTTTAAAATGGAGAAGGAACATTTAAACTGGAAAGGCATGCCCTACCTGTACTGTACCACTGCTGGTTAGTTGCACTTAAGAAATGGGAATAGTGTATTAACTCTTTACACTACATTAGCTTCGCACCTTGCAGCTAAATGGTTCCTTACTCATCACAGGCATAAATGTATGTGTTACTTCCACAGAATAAAGTCATTATTTCATGCTGACAAAGCAGGCATTGGCAAAATGGTGACTACAGGCTATGCAGAAATTCAAGTCTGCAAAATTGTTGCACTATTCCCCCAAAATATAATGTGGTTAGAAGGCCTTTATGGATAAAAGTTAATCATTTGAAGCTAAGCATGTGTGCACTTCTGTTCTTCCTTCCAGCAGTCAAAGGGAATTAGAAGATTGTGTGCTACTGAATGAAACAACGCAGGTTCCCCATCCACAACTAGAGACTTGACATGAAGGCATATCTTCATTATAGGTTGTCATATTTCAAAAAGCAAAATTCCTGACACCCGAAGAGGTTTTTTTGGTTTTTTTTAAGGAAACCACCAAAAATTGTTGAACTTTTTCTTTTTTTTAAGAAAGCCACCTAACCCCAAAATAGTGATTTTCAGTTTTTTGGGCTGCTTCCGCTGCTTTTTCCATCACATTGCCATACACCTGGGTTTTCCATTACAAAATTCCCCCCAACACCATTTTTACACCTGAAAACCAGGACATGTCAGGAATTTTCCTGATGTACGGCAAGCTAGGTTAACGCAAACTTGCAGTTCTTAGAAATGAAGGGCTTGGCTAGACCAACTTAGTCTCATTTGGATCCCAATGAAATAATAACTAACTATTCACATTGGTTTCAGTGGGAATAGGCATTACTAACTTAGCTGAGCCTATTATTTAGGATGCATTTTTGCCTATGCTGTTCCATGTGCAATTTTGTAAGCCAGTTAGGACCACATGTCACATGGCCTTTGGAGCGTGTGGGAAGAGCAGTATCAGAAATAGGGCCCAGCAGGCTAATGAAAAATTGCAGGGTTTCTAAAGCAGCAAGCTTGCCAGTTAAGTGAGGGTGGCTTCCTAAAAAAATGTGTAAAGGTGTGCTTTTTGTACCTGAAAAATCAGGCATCTGCCTAATGAGACAAGAAACAGAATCTTTTGAGTATTTTGTGGACCCCCTCTACATACCTCTTTTAAAAAGCATGTGGGAAATTTAGTGAGTTAAATGGGCCTTCAAGAGTGCTTTAAATTGACTACATCAGTGGAACTGTACACCCCTCCCCCAATAATTATGAGTAGTTGTGATGAATGTGTCTTAAAGATCTCCAATTCTGTTATTAAAAAGATAAAGGGACCCTGGACCATTAGGTCCAGTCGTGGCCGACTCTGGGGTTGCGGCACTCATCTCGCTTTATTGGCCGAGGGAGCTGACGTACAGTTTCTGGGTCATGTGGCCAGCATGACTAAGCCGCCTCTGGCGAACCAGAGCAGCACACAGAAACGCTGTTTACCCTCCCGCCAGAGCGGTACCTATTTATCTACTTGCACTGGCATGCTTTCGAACTGCTAGGTTGGCAGGAACAGGGACCGAGCAATGGGAGCTCACCCCGTCGCGGGGATTCGAACCGCCAACCTTCTGATCGGCAAGTTCTAGGCTTATGTGGTTTAACCCACAGCACCACCCGCGTCCCTCAATTCTGTTATTAGTGAGAGACTATTTTCTCCCTCTTCCATAATATTAACCTCAATGTGCTTTGCACAGGAAAACAAAGCCAGTGAGGCGAAGTGATGGTCCAGGTCTTGATTGGACAGGCATCTTGCATTTAACCAATTTGGCCCTGACTTTACTCGGTACAGGGCAGGACTGCTGGAAGTGAGAAAAGAATGCCGATCCGCAGGGCAGGGGCAAGCTTGTTGCTGCTGATTGGTTCATGCATACACATACAAACTCTGCGGCACCGAACTCTCCATTACCTACTTCACCACCGGTGTAGAAGTCAGAGTTTGTCGGGTGAACGACAGCATCACTGTCGATCGTGGCAATGTCAGCCTGAACAACTTGCAACTACAACAGGTAAACAAATGTGCATCAACCATGTTGGTCAAAGACCCAAAACAGGATCTACATTTCCTCGTTATCCTACCTTTGGGCTTCAAAATGTGTGCCATTAACAATAACAACCAAACCCCAAAAATCTTTGTACAGGTGTATGCGAAGAAAAGGGGGAAATGTAAGGAGGAAGCAGAGAAGTATCAAATACATCAACTTTAGCAGCTGACCGACAGGACAAGGACAAGGCAAGCGTTTCAGCATGTGTCAACAGCAGCTACAACCTTCTTGACTTTGCCGAAACCTGTGAAACTGGAATCTTACGGAATGTGGTAACAACATCCAATACCTGGATAATCCAGCCCAACAAAACAACTAGCTTCTCCAGTTTGATGATTATTTGCATTTTTCTGTACACAACTACCTAGACATACTGGGGGGTAAGCCATGATCCAGTCGACTTATGCGGGTCTCTTGAAAATACTGAGTTGCTGAATTTTCCCAAAGTCCCCCAATGGGACTAAGGCTGCAATCCTATATACACTTACCTGGGCATAAGCCCCACTGAATTCAATGGGAATTATTTCCGAGTAGACATGTATAGGATTGTGTTATGAAAGTGCTTAACTTTGGTTGGATGGTGCCTGTCGTAAAACTTGTCTGAAATTAGAAACGTGTGTGTGTGTGTGTGGGTGGGTGGGTGTGTTTTAATTTACAGCCTAAGACCACATTATTTGAAGTTATGATAAAATTTATTCTTTAATATTTTATAATCTGTTCATCACTTTCACTTCGATAATTTGTTTAAATTTCAAAGATAAGGAAAAACCACAAAATATGTTAGGTGAAGACTGGTCTAAGTAAAACTTTCTTGTGTCCTCTGTCTACTGATGCACATACTAGCATTGAGAAAAATCATCAGGTTGTCAAAATCAAATTCACTGTTTCATTAAGAAATTATTAAAAACTTGTGGAATCATTAAAAACAGTAATCTCCTCCTCTGCACACAGCAAAATAAGGCAGGTGCCAACTCTGCAGTGTTTCTAGCGCCTCCTGGAGATATATTTATTCACACAGGCCTTCACTGGTCATTGACATCTGGTCATTTTAAATGTAGTCTGTGCTGTATTTATTGGCTTTTAATATTTTTTTAAAAAGTATTAGTATTTATGTGTTGTTAACTGTCTGGGTTTTTTTTTAAAAAAAGAACAAAGTGTTGTATACTGACCTATAAGCAATTAAGGTAAACATAAGCTATTGCACCCTTCCCCAACGTAGTACCCTGCAGATGTTCTGGATTACATGTCTCTGCTTGTTGGGAGTCGTAGTTTAAAACACCTACACCAGGTTAGGGAAGATTGAGCTACTCCACAAAACCACGTAGATTATTATTATTAAATGTATGTCCTTTGAACGACAAGACAACTTTCTTTTTGAGCAAAGCATTTTTTAAAAATACAGGTAGTGTCAACAATGTAAGATTAAAATAATATTTGTTTATAACTGAACAAGAAGCTGATTGAATTAAAAGCAGGGAAGGAAGCAGAGGAGCATATTAGGTCATTATCTCTCACTATCAGTTTCTATCCCTACCTACTTCAATGAAAAGAATAATCAGAATGGAGAAACTACTTATTTTGATGACGGATATTTAACCGTTTTAGCTCCCAAAGAATCCATATACGAAACATCCCCAAAAGAACCAACAGTCACATTTGATTATTATGGAACAATAAGTTAATGAGTCACATATAATAATCCACCCTTTTATGTATTTTGAGGCTTTCAAAATCTTGCATTTATTACATGAGAGTAGTGTGAGCATTCCATAATTTCCATGTGACTGTTAGTTATGGCAGCCCATTCCCCATTTACCTAGATCATCTTTAAGGTCAATGTCAGCATTGGTGGGATTGATAATGGCCTCCACTTCGAAGCCGGCTAAATTACTGATTTCACTGTGAATAAGGTTCAGCTGAAAAGAAAAGCATGAGGTGGGAAATAACGACAGGACAGTTGGGAAATCACAGAGAAGCTGTAGAAAAGTAAGACTTGCAACGCAGGTGGGGGTGGCATCACTGCAAACAAAGGTGCAGAAATAAATGGCAGGTTAACTGGTAAACAAACAAAATGGAATATGCTTCAAACTCCAGACTCGGACATGATTCTGTACATGGGAAGGAAGCACTTGTGTCAGGTCAGAGCTTTAACTTGCCAAGCTTTGATGCCTGATGGGGATGAGCCGGCAAGAGGCTGGGATGTCCGGTCCCTAGCACCTCTGCTGGCTTCCTACCGGGCAGTAGTGGATGTTGGGGCACTAGCGCTTTCTTCAACTCTGATTGGTCATGTCATGACTGCCTAGAGGGGTAAAGCAGCAGTGAGGCTGGTGTGGTGCAAACCCCCTGGCAGGACTGCTGGATTCTCTCTGCTAGTGTGTTTACACCACCCTGGTTTCGCCTCTCTCCCTCTGCCCCCAAATAAGTAGCAGCAACCAACCTGAGGTCTGCTGAGCGGTGGCATCCCACCCCACTACCTGCTACTGCAACCACAGGAAGTTACCAGCAATCATTTTACATGGCATATATCTGATCTGCTTACAATGACATGCAACCAATGGACGTTTTGGTTCACTGTTGCATATGGTGGGTAGGGAAGAGAAGGGATGGTTTTGCATGTGTGTGTAATTTCAATAAGGATATATCTTAAGGCTGCACTGCTCTCTTATCTGGGAATCAAGCCCCAATGAACTCAGTGTGCAATGGGCACATAAACTCTCTATAAATGGGTAACCAAAATAAGACAATGTCCCCTTTCTACTTGGCAGGATGCTGCAGGAGACCAAGTATAAGAGCTTTCACACGAGTCAGTTTGGTAGGGAAGCCCCCACCAAGTAAAGTGAGGTGGGTGGCTGCTAGGGAGAGAGCCTTGTCAGTGGTGGCACCCCCCAGTTATGGAATGTCCTCCCTACAAGAGTCTTTCCTGGTGCCTTCTTGATGGTATTTTCAGAATAATCTTTCAGGTGAAGCCTTTTAAAAAAAACCTTCCTGGGATTAAATCTTCAAATGGGAATGTTTATGTGGCATAGGCTCCCAATTTTGTACTTTTAAAAATCCCTACATGATTTGTACCTTACATTCTTTGGAGCAGGGAACTCTTTTGGCTCCATGGGCCAGATCCATATCAGGAACTGCCTTGCGGGCCAAATTTGACACAAAGCCATTGTGAGTCACATGATTGACAGGTGGGGAGGGCCACCCACCTGTCAAAGTCCCCTCTTGTATTACTACTTATTCCAATTTATTTTTTTTGTCAATGTGAAGTGAGAAAAATAAAATAGCCGTTTTTCAAATGCAAACAAAATACAAAGTGCCAAAAAGCATTGACATGCTGTGGGGAGCAGCCCAGCCTTCAAAGTGGAAGTAAGGAGTCAACTGAAATGAAGGGAGCAGTGCAGATGGAGAATCAGAATACAGGCTTGGGAGTCAGAGATGTGTGTGCAAAAATTATTCCTGCAGTTTTCGAATGTAAGATATGTATTTATTCTGAATTGGAATGAATTATGCCAAGGCCTGTTTTTAAACAGAATCTATGGGAATTACTTCATGCACTTATAATAATTTCTATGTTTTCTCATACTCTACTGTTTGAGTCTTGCATTGGCACAACTGGTGTTGGCAGAGAGAGAGCAAAAATCAGACATTGAATGAAGATACTTCATGTTGCTAACTTGTGAGAATTCCCAAGGGACTCAATTTCTTAATATATTCATAGACCAGCCTGTTGTAACCAGAACCAAATGTAGTTTTTAATGTGTGGCAGATGAAGCTTGACAAAGTACTAAAATAATATTTTCTTCAGTAGAACAAAAAAACACGCAGGTAATAGACATACAAAATATCAACAAATACAAAATGTTAGCATTTCTCAGTGCAAATCCCTAAACCTTCTCCATTTCCAAATGAAAAACATGACTTTGGAGGTTAGATGCACATATAAACACGCCTTCCAAGCCACTTTCTTCACTGGGGAAAGGGACTATTATTCATTATGAAATAATAATTAGCTAGAAGAAAGCGCGCCCCTGGTAAGACAGCAAAAGGAACATATCATTTTGTGATTTATGTAACTGAACATGTAACACCCCACTTTAAAGCATTTTCTCACTGTAACACAGACATACAATCAAGTTTCTGAAGGGTGTTTCTAAAACCTTTCCTGAGTGTTTTGGTTCATGCAATAAGAACGGATCTACATGATATTACAAGGCAATTGCAGGGTTTCCAATTCTGCATTTGCCTCTTAACTTTTAACGCAGGAGGGATAGGCCTTTGTGGAGGTGGCTGGGAAGGGGAGCTGCTTAACCCTTCTCCCACCACTGATTTTTCCTTCCAATCACTGTCCAAAATTTTTTCCTCCTCTGCATGGGCATTTCCAGTATTAGGAGTTAGCTCGAATGTGTGTGGAATACTTTGGAGGATGCTTGCAGGTGGAAGAAGGGTTAAGCAATCTCATTGCAAATGCCTCCAACCCTGCAAAAATCTCTAAATTATCATTAACTGGCAACCATGCTTGGAAAACACATATTGCACGCCAGCTAAATTGTAAGGCATATTGGAATGAAAGACCACAAACGTATTTACTGAATTAATTAGTGCAATGCCACCTGGCATTTTTCTCCAAAATTTAATTTACTGGGGCCATATCAACAGGGCCTTACAGACACAGATGACTATATAGCAAAGCCATTTCATTTTCAGCACAAGTTCGCTAAAACAAGTACGCTGTCATGTGCAGATGCTTTTTAAATCACAGAACATGCTGTTGCCTTCAACTAGGAGGCTAAGTGTGCTCCTCTGGTGACCACCTGCATCCAGGGATGTCAGCATCAGTCATTATCACTATTAACCTTTTTGGCTAGGCACATAGCTTCGTCTATTTATTTATTCCTCCCTCTCCTTCACTAGTCAGCCTTTTCACATCTATCCAAAACTCCACCACCAGAATTCTTTACTTTGCTGATTCCATGATGCCCCTTTTAAAGCTCTCTATAGCATCTGTCTACAATATATTTCTCCTTTTCTTTCCCATTACACCTTTCCCCCATGTCCTCAGCTCCTTCCCCTCTACTACTACCAACCACTCAGAGGTTTCTTGCTGGGCACCATGGAGGGGATTCAACGTAGTGCTAAGATGAATAGATTTCCATCTTGCCCGATAGCTCTCCCTTCCCTTCCCCTCACACACTCTTCTGGGGGGTTTTCCTGATCCTCCAGAGCAGATTTTGGGAAGGAGCAGGGAAGCCTCGTTGCACCCATTTCCCCTTCCTGGCTCCCTAGCATGGCTTCCTGAACTTTTATGTGTTACCACTTCTTCCTCCCCTTTCATATTGCTACTGAAACCCCATATTTTCTGTGAGGCCTTTGGCTTAACCCCTGAATCCCCATTCATGCCTGTAACTACATTTTTAATTACGTGCGGCTGCATTTGCCCATAGTCATCCATTGCTATCTTCATGTCTCCTTCTCCTTCTCCTGTTTGTCTACATTTAGACAGTAATCTTTTTTGGACTCCCCCCTCTTTTTCTCTCCCTCACCCCCCAACACTTGGTGCTATGTGTACTGTAGAAACAATGAGTGCAATCTTCAAAAATATATATATAAGATTCCATTGTTTCCAAGAGGATAGTTGACCAGATGTGTTAATCACAGCAGGTGGGGGAGAATGGGGAAATTGGGTGTGTGCCAAGCCATTGAAGAAGCAAGGAAGTCCCTCCTACGTAATACTGTGTGTTGCACCCAACTAACTTCTACACAGAGTAAACCCAATGAAACTGATAAGCCTAAGTGTGCCAGCTTACCAGCTTCAGTGGGTCTGCTCTGAGCAGGACAAGCACTGGATGCAATCCTGTATATCTATTTAGCTATGTACTATTAAAAACTGTGAACATATTGCACAAACCTACCTTCTGCCCAAGGAATAGACTTTTTGTAGAAAGGACGGTGAAGCCATCTGTCGGGGTGCCTTCTGTTGTGCTGTCAGCGCTTGCTGATTTGCTGACTTCTCCCTGTTTCTTCTCAGTCAAAATCAACCAAGCAATCAGTTAGCAAAATCCACAATTAAACAGACCAACACAGCACAACTAATCATATGCTCATGAAGTGCATGCATACTACTCTATTGCAGCTACTCCACAGAGGGAACAAGTTTGCAAAGCCCCCACTGCTAGACTAGACACATGCTAGATGTATTCCCACAAATTTTAGATACAAATAAAACTTCTCACTGTGTTGGTACTCCATACGCTTTACTATACGGAATGTGTTTTACCATCCATCTAGCAATGCGAGGGGGAATCTGTCTCCAACATATCTCAGCTGAGTGACTCTCGTATAGCTAAAACAATACTCTTGACTGGATTCCTCTAAAGGTGTGATGTCAAAGGCAAATCCATGTTGTGTTTGTTTCTTCCCCAAAGGTATAAGCAACAAAGGATACTTTTATTTGTGTAAATTTCCTTTGCATGAAGAAGGCCCCAGGTTCAGTCCCAGGCAGGGCTGGGAAAAGATTCCTATCTGAGTGGTGAGCCACTGCCAGTGAAGTTAGATGGCTCAAGAAGGCAGCTTCTTACGTTTCCATGTATATTTGGATAGCTGTTGAAGAATTCTGCTTTTGTAATCATGGTATAAAGCAGGAGCGGATAACCTTTTGGTCCCAGTGGGCCAGATCTTTATATCCTGCTGCCCTGTAGGGCAGGCCAGTGGGACTACCCACCTCTCAGTCATCTGATGTCATAATGATGTCAGCTGACTGGCAAGTGGATTGTCCTGCTCACCAGTCAACATTGGCCTGTAGGGTTGCAGGGGAGGAGGGAGAGAGCAGCCAAGCAGGTTGAACTCCCTGTGCACCAGCTGACGTGTGTGAAGATCAATGCTGCTTTCTGCAGGGTTTGGGTGCACCAGCAAGTTCTCTGTGGGAAACTTGCTTGCATACCTGAACCAAGCAGGGCTGACCTCCTCACCCATCAGCTGAGACAAAGGGAGTTCAAGCCAGACTTCTGCAGCGATTGGCTGCATGAGAAACCAATGCAGCCACATCTCTACCTGCCACTGATCTAGCATAAGACGTCAGGTGTGGGGCAGGTAGGCATGGCTTGGGGGAAACAGCTTGGCGGACCAAATGCGGCCTGCAGCCAGAGGTTCCCCATCCCTGTTAGAAAGGGTACATTAGGAAGCTAAATGTTTTAGAATCTATAATGTGCTCACCTTCACCTCCACAGAATGACCAAACGGTATATGGCCCACTGCTCTCTATAGCATGTCATCCGTAACATTTATAAGGCGGAAGTGGCTTGCCAGGAGGGGAGATAGAGCTACTCTATCAGGTGGGTTGTTGCTGCTTACCAGGAAAGAGAGAGGGAGAGGAGAGGTGCAGGGGAGGTCAGCATGGGGCAAATAGGCCAGAAGGCACACTGGGTTGGCTCCACCAGCACATATTCATGATGCCAACCTCTCCACTGCCTCTCCCTCCCACCCAGTAAGCAACTGGGACCCAACTGCCAGGAAGCTAGCACAGCAACTCCACCTCACCTGGCAGGCTGCTTCGGCAACTAGCTAGGGTCGGATCAAGTGTCATCCAGACAGCTAGAAATAATCCATGTTATACACAAGCACTAACTTTGTCTCATGAAGCACAATGAGGTTTGCTTCCAGCTAAACCAACGTAGAACTGGGCTGTAGAAGAAATGGAAGCATACCTTAGACTTTCTTGCTCCTTTCTTGCCACCCGTTTTCTTTGTTGTGGTTTTCTTCTGTGATGGAGATTTTGCCTTTTTCGCCGGCGGCGGAGTGATGATCGCTTCCAGTTTTCCTTTCGATCCCCGTTTCTTCGCCAACAATTCTGGGTGAATATTTGGTAATACACCGCCACTGGCTATGGTGACGCCTTTCAACAGCTTAAATGGAAACGGAACAAACAGGCAATGCTGAATGGCTTTGAAAGTGGGAGAAACCAGGCGCCTCGCCACCAGAGGCAAGGGAAACGCACAGAGGAGGGAGCAGGGAGATTATGTGACAATTTCAACCTGAAGAGTTCCTGATACATTTCCCATTCATGTAAGCTACTCCTTATATTCTGAATTACGACTTTGGGTGAAGAAGAGAAAGGAAAGACTCAAAAGGGAAATCTTTTTACCTGATTTAATTCCTCGTCGTTTGCTACAGCCAACAGGATATGTCTAGGTGTGACACGACCCTTCTTGTTGTCCCGTGCGGCATTTCCAGCCAATTCAAGAATTTCCGCTGTCAAGGAAGAGAAGACTTTCTCAATTCAAAACAAAAGAAAAACACCTGGCCTTTGTTTGGTGAATAAGGGGACGACGTAGCATATAGCTGATTTTCTAGCAGTTGACAAAAGGTATGCAGCCACCTGACTCTCCAAGTATCTCGTGGTCGCAAACCACAGTATTATTTGCCTGATAGTAGATTGTAATCATAGAGACGCAACCCTGGCTCCGTTATTAATCCTCCAGATTTATAAAAAAGAATTTATGTACAAAACTAAACCTGTCTCACAACAGGATCAAGACAGCATTTCTTCTTTGCCTTTGCAAGATTTCAGAGGGTTTTCCTGGGTTTTGTCATAATTTTGGGGCCAAAATTTCATGGTCAGGCATGCATTAGAAATTTCCCAGTAGGAATCAATTAAAATTGTCAACTCATTATGCGAACGCTCACCTAACAAACAATTTCCTGAGAATGCATTGCATTTGGATAGCAAAACATGCATGCGGAATCTGCCAGCCTATATGACAGCCTATTTATTCTGATGACAAACTAAAAGATAACAAACCAATATAAGAGAAATTATTTATTGGGAACTAAGGAAAGACCTAATACATAACTATTTGTCTGGTGTGTGTTGTATTTTTTTTTTAATCCATCTTTGGGTCCAGATAATTTTTGCACAATGTTCCAGATTTTCAAACCAGAAGTACTATTGTTTTTTAACCTAACTGAAATACAGAAACAACTATGGATATTTTCATGTTTTAATACATATTCTGTGCATCTTGGGTAGTCTGTTTTGCCTACTTATTAGGAGTCTACCATGCAGTCACACATAAAAAATATCAAGTGGCATGAGTGTTATTTAATCATTTATTCTTTAACAGATAAAAACAGATTACATGTGTAACATACACCCGCTTTGGGGAATATGTAGGGAGGGCAATAATTTCTAGTGAAAAAAAGAAAACCATTAAACTATAGTTTGCATGATATAAAGGATTAGCTTCAGTACGTATACTAGCTAAGCTGACCTTTATAATATTCCTGTGATAAGCCTGTTATGACACTTACTGGAAAACCTTTGACTACAGCAACAGATGTATTTTTATCAATGATATTAAGAATTGTTCAGTGTCATATTTCTAAAAGATGCGGTACTGAGAGAGTATTTTGTTTCTCTAGGTTGATGACTTAACACGATTCCACACATGTGTGGCTAAAATTTTTTTATGACAGACCAACTTTTAATTTAAAAACCTGGAAAGTTAATTCAATATTGAATGTCATTCTGTGAGGCGCTATTAATGCTCACAGCATCCCTGCGCGTTGAATATTCAGGGTCAAGTCACTTGTCATAATTCCAGACAAGGCAGCGAAATTGTTTTGCTATTATCACCTCCTGCCTGGAATTGTAACACATGAATCAGCCCTAAGGCCGTGTATTATAGGAGCTAAACACCTGCAGTGGTACAGATGCTGGAATACTCCAAGGAACCCACTTCTGCTCCTTTTCTCACCTGCGTCCAATAGGACTCTGCTACCATAAGCCAAGTGGTCTCCAAGGTCAAGGAGGAACGAAAACACAATCCTTTATGTTTGATAGCATATTAACAACAGGGCAGATCTTAGGGCTTAGGAGTACTTGGGAGTACCCTGCTAGGTCAGCATGTGCTGATGAGGTCCTGTGTACTAGTTTGTGAATTGATGTGTGCCCATCATTCACTGGCTGTAGCTTCAAGTGACAACTTGCCTATGCAAATGGTGAGCAGCAAATCAATCTTTCAGTTCATTGGCTCGCGCCAACTCAAACACAATATTTTTCAAGAGAGGCAGTTCAAACATTTAACCGTGAGTCATCAAGCACCCTATTGGGGAGGGAAGGAATAATAATTATTCAGCGTTGCTGTAAGGATTTCAGTGGGGGAGATCTTGGACCAGTCACTGTCTCTCAGCCTAATGTACAGTGGTACCTCAGGTTACATATGCTTTAGGTTACATACGCTTCAGGTTACAGACTCCGCTAACCCAGAAATAGTGCTTCAGGTTAAGCACTTTGCTTCAGGATGAGAACAGAAATCGTGCTCCAGTGGCGCAGCAGCAGGAGGCCCCATTAGCTAAAGTGGTGCTTCAGGTTAAGAACAGTTTAAGGTTAAGAACGGACCTCTGGAACGAATTAAGTACTTAACCCAAGGTACCACTGTACCTTACAGCATTGCTGCAAGGAGAAACTGGAGGGAGGACGGACCATGTACACCCCAAGAGCAGGTCTGAGGGCCTGGGTTTTTATTGGGACAACAGCAAATGGGTGGAGTTTCAATATCTAATACCCCAGTCATGGAGCTGTTAACCCCAGAGGAAAAGCTCTCATGGCGCCAATCGTCTAGCAACATTACAGTACATTTCTTCCTTGGAAGGAGACTTCTCTCCAAGTTCATCTTGAGCCCAGCAAGGTCACTGGAGGGGTAAATACCTTAATCCTGAGCATCCAATCCTATTCCTCTCATATACAGAAAAGATGAAGCTAAACTCAGAAGTTCTCACTCAGGATTCATCATGCCCCCCTCCTCTGGAGGACAGAGCTATAATGTAATAAACTATGTGTACAGGTCAGAGATGGAATATCCAGGCATGGAATATTGGTTAATATGGCATCCCTTGCCAGCAAGCCAAATCCACAGTGTGCAGCAAGAAGTACTGATGAGACAGAGTGAGGCTCTGAGGGAACTAAGAGGCTGCAGAAAAGAAATGGAAAAGCAACTCCACCAGCTTTGGGAAGGCAGATTGATCTTATCCTGACAACATACATTTGGGACCGCTAAAACGATGGGGACCTCGTCTTCCCTCTGCTTCAAGCAGGCCCCGCAATATATACGAGAGTATTTTATTATTAGCAATTCCTCTCACAGACTAGACTCATTGAAATCAATGACCCCAAATTAATCAAGTACAGTCGTTCCTTGGAAGTTGAATGCCTTGCAGGTTGAATGTTTTGGCTCCCAAACACAAACCTGGACATGATTGTTTCCGGTTTGTGAACGTTCTTTGGAACCCAAACGTCCGTCGTGACTTCCGGGGCTTCCACGGGCTGCAGGAGCTTCCTGTAGCCAATTGGAAGCTGTGCCTTGGTATTTGAAACATTTTGGAAGTCAAACGGACTTCTGGAATGGTACGACTGTATGTTAATTTCAGTGGGGACAAATACTGTATTTATTATGCACTAGTAACAAATTTGCCTTTTTTACTCTTGACATCTGATACAACTACAGTGGTACCTCGGGTTACATACGCTTCAGGTTACAGACTCCGCTAACCCAGAAATAGTACCTTGGGTTAAGAACTTTGCTTCAGGATGAGAACAGAAATTGTGCTCCGGCGGCGCGGCAGCAGCAGGAGGCCCCATTAGCTAAAGTGGTGCTTCAGGTTAAGAACAGTTTCAGGTTAAGAACGGACCTCTGGAACAAATTAAGTACTTAACCCGAGGTACCACTGTATACAGAGAAGTTATATCGTAACCAGAGAGTCTGTGTTAAGTGTTGCTCTTCAATATCTGAAAGGAACATTTTATTTGTCCTTTATCTGTCTCTTTCAGGGGACACCTGTTTTTGAAAAACATGAAGTTTTTCTCCATGGGCAGGAAGCAATTTTGAAAGCCCTGTTTCCTAATGGCCCTTCAGGGAAGTCTACGCACCCCACTTCCTTTTCAGACTCGGGAAGAAAGTGTGGTTTAAGAGGAAGGCTAGAAGCTTGTGAAGAACAGAAAGAAGTAAAATGAGGAGCGCAGAGGGAGAAGCATTATGTTCTGCGCACTGAGGCTGCTGTTCTCTATTTAGCTTGCAGCAAAACTCATTGAGCTCAATGGGGCTTACGTCTCAGGAGGTGTGCACAGGATTGTGTGGTCACGCACACGCTCCATTTTAAGGGTCCTTGAGCAGCACTTTCACAGCTAGCTCGAGGAGTTCCGCCTGGCGTTCTGATTTTAAAAAGCCCTGCCCAACAAATGCCCCTTTTCTGTAATTAAACCAAAGTTGAACTGCAGCAATCATGGCGGAACTTTTAATGTGCACAAAGAATTTCCAGTGAGATCCCTCATCCACAATAAACAAGCAAACAAACAACCCTTTTTTGGGGGGGGGGGCAAATAAACACAACGTAGCAGGGCCTCTTTACGGATGCTTTAAAACAGAAGAGCCAATGTGGTCCCCCTCTAGATGCTGTTAGACCTCCCCTGTCTCTACTCATTGGCCATGCTGGCTGAAGCTGCTGAAAATTGGCCTCTCCTGCTTTAAACCATTTTTACCTAGCATAGATATGAACATAACTGATCAGCTTCACAGAAAACACTTAAAAATATTAAGCGTCCAATGTGAAAATTCTTGAGGAACTATTAAAGGTAAAAAGGGACCCCTGACCATTAGGTCCAGTTGTGGCTGACTCTGGGGTTGCGGCGCTCATCTCACTTTATTGGCCGAGGGAGCTGGCGTTTGTCCGCAGACAGCTTCCGGGTCATGTGGCCAGCATGACTAAGCCACTTCTGGTGAACCAGAGCAGCACACGGAAATGCCGTTTACCTTCCCGCCGGAGCGGTACCTATTTATCTACTTGCACTTAGACATGCTTTCGAACTGCTAGGTTGGCAGAAGCTGGGACTGAACAACGGGAGCTCACCCCGTTGCGGGGATTCGAACTGCTGACCTTCTGATCGGCAAGTCCTAGGCTCTGTGGTTTAGCCCACAGCGCCACCCGTGACCCTTGAGGAACTATTACGCAGGTTTTAATATCATCAAAACTGATTTGGAGCAAATGTCATATCCCTTTCATGCACACACATAGAAATCATTTATAGTCCAATCTGTTGTGTGTAAAAAGAAGACGTAAGATTCCAAATTTGCTTGATAGCTTCCCCATCCCCAGCATTTTGGACAAGGGAAAAAGTCCATGTAGTTGTCAGGTGTTCAAGACCTGGATTTTTGCTATGCAAATGTGAATATACCTGACAGCTCTGAACTCTAACTTCGTCCAAATGCTGATTAGCTTAATTTTATTTCCTCTTTTGGGGTAAAGATTTCATGTCTTGAGGAAAACCATTTCTCCTATTTCAAAACCTTTTGCCTTTCTCCACTTCAGTGAAATGAAGTCATAATGCTCAGAATTTAGTTGCTAACAGCTAACAGATGATATGTTAAGCAACAGCCAGCATTTTCAACAACAAAAAAACTTTCAACATGAGAAAAGGGGTTTCTGAAAAATGTGTGAAACTGAAACCTTGATCCAAAAGAAATCTGAGAAGCATCTCTGGAAACCAAAGGAGGGACATTGGTATAATCCCATTTAGAAATCCCAGGCAATGCCATTCTGATTCCAGGAGAAGGATTTCATCTATTTTATTTTATTTTGAAAAACAATCACACATTGTTCCATCAATGATTTACTGAATCCAGAACATTCTATTATTCTGAAAAATCTTAACCCAATCAGACTCAATCAACTATGATAGTTAGACTTCCCTACGTTCATTTTCTTGTACATTCCTTACAATCTTCCTTAATATCCTTGAAAGAGGACCACTTAACATTTCTTTTCCCTATGCACACTCCTCATAAAAACAAATAAATACGGGCCTTAGTCTTACAATTACAGATATTTGAAGAGGTTCAGTTCAGTTTTAGGATATTCATATGCTGGTAAACCTGTTTATCCAGTTAACTGCCCAACTACGTCAAATAACTGAAGGTTTTGTATTTATGCAATGTAATTTACATGGAACTATCAAAGCTGTTTAACAACTAGACCTTTTCGGGGGGGCGGGGTGTGTGTGTCTCAAAGTCAGCACTGTTCTTCCTCATCATTCATACTCAATCCGCAAACTACCCCACTTTTTTTATAGGAGTCTCAAGCTGTGCTCCTATCAGAGTGCCAAGTGCATCACTGCCATGCTATAGCCATGTTTGCTGTGAAGTAAATCATACACTGCATTCAATGGGGCTTTCTCTCTTAACAGGTTAGCTTAGGACCACAGCCTCCATAAGTAATCTAAAGAACACAATCTACAAGAGCTGAGCAGAAACTGAATTCAAATGGAAGTGCAATCTGCTTTTGGTGCCTGCTAACAGGAAGCCCAAGCCATCTTGATATTTTCATACTGAGCATCCTGTGTTCACTTGCTCTCTGCATATGTGTGTGTATATATAAAATGGTGTTTCCTTTGCCTACCAGTTTACACTTCACTGTTACTCTTAACAGTTTACACATGCTTCTCCCCCTACTTTTAAATGCATTTAAACATGATTAGTCTAAGCAATACCAGATGTTGCTTGCGCTAATGCAGCGTGTATGGTTTGGCTCGACTGGTTTACAACTCAGGACAAGTCCAGCGCCTTGGATTATGCTCTGATTTTTAGGGACATTTGTTATAAACCTGCATTTACACAAACTGGATGCCCACCATGCCATCCACCCACCCACCCACCTCTTGCATATGAATACAAAGAGAGACAAACTAAAAGGATAACCTGGCATTTAATAATACAGTGTTGCAGATGGCTCTCCTTTCTTTGTGCTGGAGCAGCTGAAAAAGTTTGCAGGGAGTGCTGTGTTTGCTTATTAAAATGTACAGTGGTACCACAGGTTACATACGCTTCAGGTTACATACACTTCAGGTTACAGACTCCGCTAACCCCGAAATAGTACCTCGGGGTAAGAACTTTGCTTCAGGATGAGAACAGAAATCGTGCTCCGGCGGCACAGTAGCAGCAGGAGGCCCCATTAGCTAAAGTGGTACCTCAGGTTAAGAACAGTTTCAGGTTAAGAATGGACCTCCGGAATGAATTAAGTACTTAACCTGAGGTACCACTGTATCTTGTGCACATTAACACGTGAAGACAACATTTATGTATGGCACACACTGTCCCCCAACCTAATGCCAACTCTTAAGAGACACGTGTTTTAATCTGTGGAGGCCAAATCGGTTCTGATACTGAACAAAAAGTGTCACCTCATTTGTTATGCACTCTGAGGGCAGTTAATCTCTATCTCAAACATTTACACCACCTGAATCTGTCAACAACGCTACAGGAAGGACTACCAATTTTAATTTTCCAAATACTACAACTGATGCTGGACCATAAAGAAGGCTGAATTGATGCTTTTGAATTATGGTGCTGGAGGAGACTCTTGAGAGTCCCATGGACTGCAAGAAGATCAAACCTCTCCATTCTTAAGGAAATCAGCCCTGAGTGCTCACTGGAAGGACAGATTGTGAAGCTGAGGTTCTAATACTTTGGCCACCTCATGAGAAGAGAAGACTCCCTGGAAAAGACCCTGATGTTGGGAAAGATTGAGGGCACAAGGAGAAGGGAACAGCAGAGGATGAGATGGTTGGACAGTGTTCTCGAAGCTACCAGGATGAGTTTGACCAAACTGCGGGAGGCAGTGGAAGACAGGAGTGCCTGGCGTGCTCTGGTCCATGGGGTCACGAAGAGTCGGACACGACTGAACGACTAAACAACAACAACTGATGCAAAAGTCCTAAGTGGTTCTTTGCAGGCATCGGTAACACTAGCCAAGACTAGGATAAGAGCACAGGAAGTGACAGGCCATTGGGCCACCTGGCTCAGTACTGTTGCCATTGACTGGTTTCAGGCAAAGGACCTTCCCATGCCTACCTGGAGATGCTGAAGTGTGACCCTTGACTGTCCAAGGCTCTTTGATTTCACAGAAGTAGTTGAGAGGCTATCTGCATCCCAACCACAGCTCCGTGATTTATTGCATAAAATTTATATACTGCTTGATTGTAAAAACGAACAAGCAAGCAAGCAAACCCCAACATGGTTAATATGATGCATTTCTTATTTACATCAAGAGGGAGGGGGACTTTTGCCTGTATTAGGTCCCTATTTATGTCACAGTCTTAAAAACCTGTGTTGTTAGCAAAGGAGTAAATTCTGTTTTAAAAGTAGAATAATTTACAGTGCAAATTTATACATGCCGACTCTGAAGTAAGCCCTACTGAACGTAATGGGACTTGTTCCCAGATATTGAGCAGAATTTCAGCCTTAATCACAAGGCCTTTCTCTTTCACTGAATTTCTATTTCCAGAGATAAGGTTAAAGATAAACTACAGTATTGTACCACTCAGTCTAAATGTATTGATCTCTCTATATATCTTTTTTGTTGTTTTTCAGTCTTGCTCAACCTGATTTTTCAATTTAGGGTAGGCTACACATACACACAAATCAAATGTGTAATGATATGCAGGAAATATGTCAAATGTTCCAAAGAATGCTGTCACTGTAATGGATTCTTCATTGTTTAAGAAACTTTTTGCTTCCTTTCCTTACCGTGCAGCCTATAAATAACACTCCGAACTTTGAAATCACATTCTATGAATCAAATTATTTTTATGGCAGATCACTGTGGCTACAGCCGCTGTCCTTTTAAAAAAAGCAGTGTGCACTAAAGTATATTTAAGAAACAAACACGATTGTCGTTTGCCTTTAAATTATTACATTCCTTCTGAAAAGAAAGAAGACTGGAATGGCACTTCCACATAATGAATTCTGACGGAAAACATGGCAAGCACTTGGGATAACTGGTTAACTGCACGTTACGTTCTTATTTTTCAGGCACTCAATGGCTTGGGACAGGTTTCCACACAGAAAATGAATCATGATTAAATAGCAAGCAAATGACTTGCTGGAGTATCTGAAACTCCACTCAGGGAATCTGGTGATGTCATAAAGCACGAGAACAAAGCATAAAAGTCACCAGAACACCCAAGAGAGAGTTATGGTCTGGAACTCTAAAAAAAAAAAGTGCATGTTTTAAATTTTACAAAATGAATGGATTGGCAATAAAATACAGTGGTGGAAAAATGTTAATGGAGAAAGCAGACATTTCAAGTTTCGCCCTACCTGACTTTTTCTAGCTGTGGAACAATGTAAATCACAGCACCTTTTTTTAGGAGTGGGGTGTTATTGTATATCACCTGCTGTTTTATAAACTTCACTCTTTCCTAATTTGCTGTGGAATTATTTTTTTATGTAGAGCAGTCTATTGACAGAAATTCCCACAAGCTTCATTTCTGTCTACTATTTAAATTATGCCCATAAGCTTTCTAGCTCTTTTTCTGCATTAAGATAGATGGATAGACAGACAGACAGACAGATAGATTGATAAATAGATAGATAAACTAGGCAGACTGAAAAAAAGATAGAAAATGTAGTGCATTCAGATTAAACAAATCTAATTAAACAGAAAAAGAAGATTCAAAACTGCAGACAGCATAAACCAAATTCAGAACCACAAGATAATAAAACACTGCAGCGCAAGAAAATAAATAACTAACCTAGCAGGCCAAAAGCCTCTGGAAAAGGAAGGTCTTTGCAATTTATTACAAGGCCAACAACAAATGTGCTAAGAATTCCAGAGTCTGAGTGGTGCCACCACTGAGAAGACCGTCACCCATGTTCCCACAGTTGGTGGGGCACTGGGTTTGGACCTTTCCTGCAGGTATTACTCCACGGACAAGTTCAAAAATTCACAATATTACCACAGAATACCCTACAAGTGTTAAACTATGGTTGACTGTACTTGACTTGATAATCCAGGCCTTGCTTCAGCTGGGTTTAAACAGCACAAGTTGTCCCAACCTCAACCAGTCCCCACATTCGAGTTTGTTAGTGCTAGTTTCAGGGTTATCTTCGATATTATGTCTTGTATCGAAATGCCAGAAAACGATGTTTTTGAAATGTGCTTGGGAAAATGGTGACTGGTTCAGCCTAAAAAGAGCTGACAAGAGACTTACATACATGACTGAAAAGTAATAAAAGGATCGTCTCTGGAGATGTCAGATGAAAAGTGAAGATAGGAGAAAACTGTTTATTAGATGACACAATGCCTTATTTTTTCTATGTCTGTTTTAATACCAAACAACAGGGAAAACTGCTCCAGATGTTTAGTACAAAAGATTTGTGGAAGTCCTGAGAGATCCTTGCGGTCCCTTTGGTTAGGAAGCTATCAAGACAAAAACACTGGGTCTTATTTAGTTCTTATTTAGTACAGCCTCTGGTGTAGCTGCAAGACATGAGACTCTGCTAAGTGTCTGCAGGGTGTTTTTCCCCCTCTGGTTAGGAAAATGTATTTATTTATTTATTTAAAATAACTTATATCCAACCCTCTCTCCCTAAGGAGATCAGAGCAGCATTTATAAAAAGCAGTTCAACGGTACAAACTTATAAACAAGCAATAGAAAACACTCACATTCATAGTAGGGCTCAAAGCCTGATTAAAAACAGATGTTTTAACTGCCCTTCTGAGTGCAAGCAGTGAAAGAGTGACATGGATCTTCCAGGGGAGGAAGTTTCAGAGGTGAGGAGCCACCACAGAAAAGGCCCTCTCACGTGCTGTCACCTTTTGAACTTCTCAAGGGCTAGCAAGAAGGGGAAATTATATTATAATGGCCAGTGATATGGGTTACAGCTATGAAACCACACAGCAAAATATGTCTGTGTGAGACACAGATTGAAGTGTGGACAGGATGAAAGAAGTGTATGCCACGAAGAAGCAATTAAGACTTTTAAGGCACCACGGGAACCTTTGCTTCTTTTTAATGAATATATCATAACTCTTCTGAAATTTGGAACTTCTCTTTCAGGTCGAGTATGAAAAATGGGTGATTATGAGCAATGAACAAAGTACGCTAGCAATCTCAGAGCCTTGAGTCAAAATGTAAATGTGAATACCCTGAGTGGAATTCAATGGAGTAATCGCACATGGAACAAGGTGAGCTTGTGCAGCAAGAGTTTTCCCCCTCTCCTCCAAAACAGATTTAGCATACATGCAGGACACACAGGGAAAGGAAAGTGTTGGGGGAGAGAGAGAGTCCCACTGCACTAGCGAACCTTGTTCTGCACATGCAACAACTTAGTTGAGTATCGCCCTTTGGCTTCTGATATTATATTTTCCTTGAAAGTGATCTTATTGCCATTTCACCTTCCACTACAGATCACTCTGTCCTCTCTATCTGTTCTCTCAACTCTGCCACAATCTGAACCTCTGAGAGCACCCTTGGAGACAAAGGTGGTGTTCCTTCTTTTTTTATGTTCTGTAGCTGCTCCCTATCAGGCAAAAAGTGAGGGTCAGTTCAGAAAAGTCCCATGGGATACTGTGTGACCTTCAGCGATGCCAACAATCCCTTACTTTTTCAGTAGTCAGCACAACTCACAACATACAATAGAAATCTAGGCTCAGACCACACAAAATGAAGAAAAAGGAAAGGCCATGAAGTCAAAACCATACATGGTGCGTGATGAAAGTGGGAGCTGTAAGACAGAAAATTGGAGGATTGCAGACAATAACCTTTATTATAAGGTCGTGAGCAATAACTTTGGCAGCCTAATCCTCACAGTCACTTTAATGGAGCTTGGATTGGCATCGTCTTTTAAATAAAGGAGAGATGGGCAAAATATCTTATTCTGGTTTGGAATAAACATATTAACTTTTTATCACAATGCATTTTAAATGAATGCAGCCACCAGGGGAAACAGACAAATGCAAATGTCCTTTTCTGAGTTTTGCTTTTTAGGGGGGAAACGTGTTAGACAGAAAACATAAATAGTAAAAAAAAATTAAATCATTTTTAAAACCCACAATAATCTCAGTTCCTTGGAATGGAAGTAATTAAAGGCAGAGAATCATTTTCTTTTCAGCTTTCTTTATAATATCTTCCTTGGGGATAATCTAGCTGGGATTGTAAGCCATGTTTACAAATTCCCAGGGTTCCCACCCTCCACAAAAAAGTCTTCGTGCTCTATTGTATTCTTCCCTCGCTCAAGGTTCTTCATCTCACAGAAGTGTGCAAATCTCTTTCTCTCTCTCTAAAATTGGTACCATGTCCTGCTCATTAACATTACTTGTAATACATCTCAGTTGCTAGTTTAGCTTGGGGTTTTTTATATATTAAAAAACACTCAGTGCAGGCTATTTTATAAAAGGCATGAAGTTTAGAATCTAAATATATATGTATATCATCTGAGTTACATAGTGATTACAGTAATAGAAGAGTAGATAATACTGAGCTAGATGGACAAATACAGGTCAATACAGACAAGCTTAGCAACCTGTTTAAACCATACCGTCGTTGTTCAAGAAATCCATTACTCCTCTCACAAGTACCGTAATTTCCTTAAAGTAGTGACTTGCCTAAGTACTGGGAGAGGGGGGCTACACAGGTGGATTTCTAAAGTTTATAAACGACTTCGATGGATGAATTGAGGGAATGCTCATCAAATTTGCAGACAGCACCAAAGTGGGAGGGCTAATTGGAGAACTGGGCCCAAACTAACAAAATGAATTCAATTGGGACAAATGTAATAGGGACAAATCTATGATTCTAAGACTGTGCATGTAAAGTCAGTCAGCTTGCTTAGCCCTTAGTTCACTCTAGAACACTATTTTTTATAGTTTAGGGCATTTTTATTATATCCGCAAACTTACTTAAATTGCTCAAATAAGCCACAAAGATCAAGGACCATCAACTCTAATCTCTTACCGAATCCCTCCCCACCCTGAGAACTTAGGTCTAACGTTTCATTTCTGGATACTTCATCTTGCTGAAATCGCTGCCATCTCTTTAGCCCGTTCTCTACCACCCTCTTTTTACAATGGTGCCACTGCTTGTACATAACACCGAGTCCTTAAAGCTATTGCTCCCCCCCTCTATTAATACTACACCTGAGGGCTAATTGTAATTCTTAAAGATCCTCGGTTCTGCATGGAAGCACTTCACAGAGTGGGTCTAACATCTGAAAACTGCTTGTCAATTATTGGTGCGCCTCCACTGGGTGCGTGGCATCTCTTGCCAGCACCAGAGAAATGTTCATTGGCAGTCTTCACGTGGTGGCTCTAACGTTCAAACAGACTCTTAGACCTCTCTTTGTTCAGTAAGAGCACGCCATGTATAGCAGCCCTGGCAAAAGGAGGCCCTGCTGTAGTATATGGAGAGTGAAAGCATCATGTTCTAATTGCATTATTGGCCCCATTTCAAAAAAGCTGCTCCTGCAGCTGTTTTGACTGACGGCTCAGGAGCAAACCAACCCATTGCCCAATTATTTATTTGCTTATTTACAAAATTTCTAGACTGCCCTTCCTTGCACATATCAAGACCTCAGGGCGGTTTCCAATATAAAACAATACAATAAAATATTTAAACCAATCATTAATAAAATGCAGTAGCACAGGAAACACCCCCCCCCCGAAAGCATTAACTAATTTCCTCCAAAGGCACAGGAGGAGAGAGAAGTTTTCGCTTGGTGGCAGAAGCCCATCAGGCTGGTCGCTATCTAGGTCTCCAGTGGGAGGGAATTCTCCAGTGGGGGTGCCACAACAGAGATGTACAGGGATGAGGAACCTCAGGCCTGGGAGCCAAACCCTGCCCTCCATGTCCCTCTTTCTGGCCCCCAAGACTCACCCCAGATACATCCTCTCTTCCCTTATCATCCCTTCTGCATATCCTGAGTGTTCTTGCCTGGCTGAAATACGTCCTTGAATTCTGGTAACACTTCCTGCTTGCCTGGGCAGAGGACAGAGAGGGGTGTGTACAGACACTAGCCCACCGCACAAAGGGTGGAAATCCCGTTCGTCGTTTTGTTCACTTTTTGCCTCTGGTCCCAGCCACCACTGGCATGTGGTACCTTATTGTGGTGGTTGTAGGTTGTTTTAAACCGTTATTAATAAAGGGAATGTGGTCCTTTGGCTGAAGGTCCCCTAGCTCTGCTCTAGTGAATGGCTTCAAGCTAATGAAGCTTGCTAGTGGTAAAGCACATTATTTTTTTATTGTTATTAATTTTTATTGGAAATTTTATTTACAACATAACATAACCCCCCCTCCCGATACAGAAATCCACCCTCAATAAACGTGAACATAACGTACAATGAGCATAACATACAACAATACAAACAACCAAATAAAAGACTTCCTTCATCCTATATCTGGCCTCCTTATTTACTTCTTATAAACGGTTTCCTTTATGAATAATTATGAATAATTATTAAGATTTTTCTAATTATAACTTAAATATCCACAAAGTCTCCGGCAGACATTAATCGAAACAAGTCCAGGTATGTATTTTAGGGCACTGTTTTGTGAAGTATTCTCTGCATTTCCCCTATGCTTTTTGAAACTCTTGTCTAGTGTGCATTATTTTGTGCATTTTAAAGAACAGTTAAAAATGGGGGGGGGGGGTGTTATACCAGGTTCATACGGTTGCCGTTTTTAAAAAGTTCCCCTCTTGTTGATTACAATGCAAGTGAAATACCCATGTCAGCTTCAGGGCTGTTTTCGTTTGCACCCCATTCCTTGGGCATGCCAGAGGAACAAGGGGACTTTGGAGCCTGCAGGTCTTTCGCCTCTTCTGACATGACGCCAACACGCCCTCCGAACGGCTACCATTTGCCCTCCCTACTATCTGCATCCAATTTAGCATCACGGAAGGCTCAACCAAAAGCCAACTAATCTTACCAGGAACCCATTATAAATGCAACAGAGGGTTTACAGCTGCGAAAGTTAGCTAGTGCAATGCTTCCAAGACACAGAAATCTGAATTGAGATGCAAGATCAGTAGTTTGGATTTACATTCATTATGAGGTTAATGTTGCTGCAGATGCAACGCGCCTCAATTCGCTGCTTTTATCTTCCGCAAATGCTCTCTCGCGTTTGCAACTGATTCCACTGAACTGCCTTGGCTCTTGTCGAGGCAAACTTACCAGTCAGGTATTCAAGTACAGCTGCCATATAAACTGGAGCACCGACCCCAATCCTGTACTTCGGATGACCTTTCTTAATATAACGGAGCATTCGTCCGACGGGGAATATGACCCCGGCTTTTGCCGAGCGAGAGGTCTTCGTCGACTTTTTCTTCCCACCCCTGCTGGACATTTTCTTTTACGTGGGTCTGGGTCAGCAATCTAGAAACTAGAAACAAAAGGGGGAAAGGGTAAGGTTACAAATCAAGCCTGAGACACTTGCTTTCAAATGGCGAACGATACCTCAGCAGTCTCTTAAAATCGGGCCCACAGGCTTTCAACTGCACTAAGTCGCAACACTGCCGTACATCACGTGGAAAGCTGCAGTGCTATGTTGAGAGGCAGGGCTTTTAGTGCCTTATCTGTGCCTCTAACACATAAAATTCAAAGAGATTTCTGTGGGCAAGGCTGATCAGACTGTGTGTCAGAGGACTCTGGCGCTGGGTGCAAAATCCAGCACCCTGAGAATCCCAGCGTTAATTATTTATGGTTGTATCCAATGGGGTCCCTCTACAGACGGAAAGCTCATTGATCCAGCAGGGGTAGAACAATTTGTTTGTTTGTTAGAAAATAATATAAACACAGGCATTTTTTAAAAAAACATTTCTGTTTACAATTAACAGTTATATACTAATGAGGTTAATAAATCAGAAAAGGAAGTTGAGGGAAGTCCAAAAGGGGGGAGGGAGAGATGTTATGTAAGTTGTATGTTATAGGTATATTTGTAATGAGAGAAAAGAAAAATATTATTATTATTATTTTTTAAAAAAAACAGTTATGAAGGTTGGGGGAGGAGTGAATGCTTGCTGATTGAATGGATGGTAATTTTTAGCATTTCATCTGTCCATTACACCTGACAAAACAAATTTCATTTTTGTAAAAAAATTTTTTAAAAAAATGCTCTGAACAGATGACTTTATATTGCTCAAGGTGTTAAACTTTCTACTCTTTTTTTTTTTTTAAAGCAAACGGTAATTTTACAGTACTAGATACAGCAGCAAATAGAAACATGAAGTCATTGTAAAAACACCAATGACCATACAAAAATAAACTCGAATAATATTTATAAAACATGCCTTGAGTCCTGACACTGTGCCGGCACTATTCCCAGTCATCACCCGGGTTAGGAGAGCTGCTTGGACAATAATGTTATTTTTTAACACACTGAAGATGCAAACAGAATTGTTCCCATATTTTGTCTTTCTGGTAATGAGTGGATTATTTTGCCTGTTGTACTGACAAGTATGTCCAAACTGAATATTCTGAGAAAAGTAACCATCCTGCAAAGATCATATTGTCTGCTGTAGCAACTAGTCCCAGATGTGCTGGACTAGCGGTTGTGACAGAAAGACACTTTGCACACGCTCAAAGGTACTCTCATCCTTATTATCATTTCATGTACTTGAAAGAAGACTGGCAAACTACCTCCAGCATATAACACCTTGCTTGTGGGATTTGGCCTGGCTGCCAGTTTGCTACGGGCCTTGGTGTTGGTAGGAGACCTTGAGACCAGGTTACTTGAGAGACCACATTATCCCTTATATAGTCAGTAGATCGCTGCAGTCATTGGGACAGTTTCTCCTACACATTCCAAATATCTCAGAAGCCTGCTCTGCAGTAACTAGGAGCAGGGCTTTCAATGTGATGGCCCCCATTCTGTGGAACAGCATCCCTCTTGAGACACGAAAGGCACCCACTGTCTGCATTTTCTGGAAGCAACTGAAGACAATCTTGGTTCTGACAAGCTTTCCCTGGATGAATTAGGTCTTTACCGTGAGTGCCCACTTGTTAGGGTTTTAATCTTGTTTTAAGTGCATTTGTTGTTTTTTATGTTTTCAACTGATTTTAGTTATTTTATGTGTAAATAGCCTTGAAGTGGTGGTTTAGAAGGTGATGATGATGATGATAAAAATAAAATGCCAGGTAAGGCTTAAGGTCTCAAGTGGAGTCAAGAATGCTTGCATACAAAAGTACTGTTTTGTTTGTTTCTTTGGAAAAGGGAAAGGATTGCAATTAACTGCCTGGGATTTGAAATTGTGGAATTTATCCGCCTACCAATCACAGTCGTTTTCATTCCATCCCCCTGCAGGAGTTTCACAAACTCCAATCTGACAACTTCCTTCCACCAGCATAATTGGACTTGACACCGGAGAATGATGGCCAGCAATCGCATGCTAATTTACTACCATCCACAAACATGTTGCTGATCGTTCTGCCGAGTGTCTGTCATTCTCAAGTTGTGTTTTTGCAAGGGTATGTAGGCATTAAATTAAAATGTTAAAAAGCTCCGCAGAGAGGGGCGGTTTACAAGCTCAGAAACCGTTGCTCTTCTGGGAGCTGGTGGTTTAGAAAACTAGTCCAAATTCCTAAACCTTTGATTTCCTGTAAGAGAAGCCTGTAGTGGCTTTTTCCTTCACCCCTATGGAGATAGACAGTTTTATAAACAATGTTTTATAAGCCAAAGGAAACCCCAACGGTGTGTATTAGCCATAGGAAAACCTCCTCGTGACCCAAAGCTGGCTTGGCACAAAGGGGTGCTTTTTCACAGTATCACCCCCCCCCCCTTCTCAAACCAATTCCCCCTTCACCTCCTTGCGATTATTAAATCATCATGTCTAGGTTCTGAATTCTTTCTGCTTGTTCGCTCCATTAGCTATTTGTCCCCACCTTGCTCCATTGCGTTCTCCCTCTCCCTCCCTACTTCCCCCTGCAACACAAACCTATCAATATATGCACCAGGCACCTCCGATGGACTGACTTCCAAATGAAGTGAAGCAAGCCTTACTTTTGACATTTTGCAACTTTTGCTACTATGCGATTTCTGACCTGTGCTAACGTGTCATGAAGGCTTTTAAATACACTTTCAGCTATTACATAAAACCTGTCTAAATTTCAGACCAGGAGTCTTTTGTCGACTAAGAATATAAATTCCAGCGTCTATTGATTCCATCCTCCCACACTCTTGTTAACCTCGATTCCTAGACTTCCCAAACAAGGAGATGAAACAAAGAGAAACGTGTATCTTGTAAAAGGCAACCCATAAGGAAGTCTACCATTGGACACATCACATTGGCCCAAGGCAACTGATAGGATTGTGGCTAAACACAGGTTTGCCTCTGTTCAAAGTCCCATACCTGCAGTTTTTAGGGTTACTCATCATACACCACAGTCCTAGGCATATCTTCTTAAAAGCATGCCGCAGAGTTCAACACGGCTTACTTGCAGGTGTGTCTAGGAATGCAACCATCGCTTATTACCACATGTGTTCAAGGTACTTTTAAGGAAAAGGTTGTGAAGAAAAATGAAGTAAAGATATAGAAAGCTTTCCCCACTTTCCACTTTTCCATTCCTTAACTTGGAAAAACAACCCAGCAAAACACACTTTTCCTCCATATGGATCTTCGTAGGCCTATAACTAGCAAGTCTCTATTAACCATCTGGCTAATTATGGCTTCTAAGATGGCCCTTAAAAATATGTATAAACCACAAAAACCCTGGAGAGCAGCGCATTCTCAGACACTTCATGTCCAGTTAATGGAACACAAATGGCCAATTAGCTAATAATATTTTACCCTGGAATTTCAATCTGGAGTTTTCAATGCGATTAAAGAAGAAAAAGGTCCTTTATAAATGAAAAATTAAAAAATATCAAACATTTGCCAGTCACTGGAATAAGCCACATTGTTACAAACAGTTACAAACAGAGATGTCGCAAAGTGTTGTCTTTTTATTACTAATATTATTGTTATTAATGTTATTTGTTATTCACTCCATGTTTCAAAGCATTTAAAGCATTTTACCCCAGTCTTCAGTTAAAAAGGCTACCACAGTGGCTTACGTATGATAGATTAAAAATTAATTATTATAATACAATCCCTGTCCATAGGTGTACAGTCAAAAAGTCACAACACAAATGGAAAAAGAAGTGGGGAGGGAAGATGATGACTGGCATAGAAATTAAGTGGTTTTCAGCTGTAATACTTTAAGGGAATATGAAAAATGGATTATCAGTAGGTAAAAATTTAACGTTACAATATTTTAAGATTAAAGACTAGGATAAACAAAGAGGGCAAGGATTTGCTGAACCAACAAACCGAACTGGAATACAAAAAAGGGAGGCGTGAGGAGGTCCAGGAAACAAGCTAATGAAAAATAAGTAATGGAAAGATTGAGTTGTTTTTAACCATTTTTATTTTGTATTTTCTTCTTTTTTTATTTTTATTTTGTAATTTTTTGAAAATCTTAATAAATATCTTATAAAAAAAGAAGAAGATGATGATGACCGGCAAACTCAAACACCCATGCTCAAAGTTACATAGTAGATGCTTATAATGAACAGATCCTGAATTGTTCTTACTAAACGACAGTTTAAACAAACCACAGTTCCCAAAGTTTGAATGTGACATTGATAATAGAAAGGGTGCTTTTGATCTCTGCATGATCACAGAAGAGGAGGAGGGGAGAGAGAAAGAGACTGTTTGAGCCCAAAGTTTGTGCACACTTGTCTAGGTAGTGGAAAGCCATGGTTTCCAGTTACATCTGAATAGGACTTAGTGATTTATGTGGCATGGATTGTTTATTCCAGTTGGCCCTTCTGGTAGATGTAGTCACATGTATTTTTTAAGCTGCAGGGACCTTCCTCTCATAATCAGCAGTCCTCCTCTGCTAATTTAATGAGCCAGGAGGGACGGGGTCAAAGGAGCATGTGGTTGGACATATTGCCGCCAACACCTCGTCCACATCAGTTGATTGCATGGGATTCCATAGCGCACCCTCAATAGTGGCACTGGGTACTTCAACCAGAGCTGCAACAAGTGCAAAACCAAGAGACGATGCTTGGGAGTGACTGTGTCAACACCCTTCTTTCATCTCACTTTTCCATACCCCAAGACCTGTCTTCATACCACCAAACCATGGTTCAGCATTCCATCTGAATAATGGCTATGTAACCAAGGTTCAAACCATCTAATGCCCTTCTAGCATCTGCCAGAACTGATCATACTTCTTCCAAACAAAAAGAGAGAGGGGAGTTAGACAATTTTCTCGAGCGTTTCTACCCTTCCAGTCTTCCACTTCTTGCAAAGCTAGCACGGTTCTTTGTCAGAGAAGCTACTGGCAGGAGCAAGGGAGAGTGAACATGCCTTCTCGTTTTTCAGAGAGATGAAATAGAAATGGCATCAACCCAGAGAGCCTATAACTTCCATCAACAGAGTAATCCCTGATGAGAGAGCTCCTCTAACAAGGAGAGGATGCTATGGAATTCAAAGCAACCCAGGGGAATTCCTTTTTGTGATGATAACTATCAAGGGACAATCTGACAAAACACGTGGCATTAACAGCCTGTATCATGAACCTGAAATACACTGAGTTTTCTTGTCTCTCAAATCTCTTAAGAGCACAGAAACCTGCTTCAGACCAGATCAGATCATCTGTCCATCTAGCCCTGTTGTCACTGACTCTCCAGCAGCTCTCCAGGGTCTCAGGCCAAGGTCTCACCCTTCAGTTGCTACCTGATCCCTTTGGCTACATATTTCAAGGATTGCATATGGAATCTTCTACAGGCCATGCATGTGCACTACTACCTAGCTCGGGCCCTTTTTTTTACTGGGACCATAAGGTGTGGAGGAGGTTTACTGGAACTTTCAATATTAACCTTTGGACCTCATTTGAAACAACAGAATGGATGGAAACACAAATTTCAACATCGGAGAGGGACATCAAGTTGGTCCTTAAAGGTAAAGGTAAAGGTACCCCTGCCCGTTCGGGCCAGTCTTGCCAGACTCTAGGGTTGTGCGCTCATCTCACTCTATAGACCGGGAGCCAGCGCTGTCCGCAGACACTTCCGGGTCACGTGGCCAGCGTGACAAGTTGCATCTGGTGAGCCAGTGCAGCACACAGAACGCCGTTTACCTTCCCGCTGGTAAGCGGTCCCTATTTATCTACTTGCATCCGGAGGTGCTTTCGAACTGCTAGGTTGGCAGGCGCTGGGACCGAACAACGGGAGCGCACCCCGCCGCGGGGATTCGAACCGCCGACCATGCGATCGGCAAGTCCTAGGCGCCGAGGTTTTACCCACAGCGCCACCCGCATCCCAAGTTGGTCCTTAGCATACAACTAATCACAATAAATCTTCTACACAGCGCGTATGGCTGCATCTCCCAATTGCTTCGCCTACTCTTCATTTAATTGTGCATGACTTCCTCTTGAAGAAATAATACGGCGTGTGAGATACAGCTTCCGTGCAGCTTAACAGATCTTCTGCAAATTGGAAGGGTTTTCTCCCCCCACCCCCACCCCACAGAGCTACAAATAGCTCCAATTAGTGTTAAACAATAACTAGACACCTCCAGTAAGAAAATGGACATGCTTTATGTAAGGAGTAAGGTATACAGGCAATTTTCATAAGCAGATTAATCAGCAATCACAGAATTACTGCCTATTGGAGGGATTCGAATGCATCTCTGTATTTTTATTTCTCCTTCCTTTCTTTTTAAATCTGGGTGAACAGCCCAGCTCTATACACAGGCAAGAGCGTTCAGCACAGAGGGAGCCCCAGGACCAGCACAAAGCAACTCTTGGCCTGCTCTGCCTTTTCTGCCAGCTCAGCAGCAGCCACTGGTGTAGGTATTCTGGTGCCTGCAATTTGGCAAAGATGGAGTGAAGAGAAGGGGGCTTCCAGTGGGCCTTAGCAAAGCAAACCACGAGAGCAGCCATAGGAATGGAGGGTGGTGGAAGCTGAAAGGTCAGAAGCATCCAAGCAGAGCAGCCCTGGTTTTCATTGCTTCATTTAGGATTCTGCTACAGCTGTTGAAGTCACAGCCTTCACAAACAGAGTATCAGACTGCTATGTAGTTAAAAGGAACAGAAGCAGCAGCAATCAGACTATTGGTCCATCTAGCTCAGCCCCATCCACACTGACAGGCATCTCCAGCGGTTCAGACAAGGGTCTCTCACAGCCCCACCTGGTGATGCCAAGGACTGAAGCTGGTACCTTAACACATGCAAAGCAGATGCTCTACCACTCAGCTACGTCCCTCCCCCCCCCCCCAAATCCTGTAGCATGCTCAGGCTTGTTGCCACTTTCTGGATTGACTGGGGAGGAACACACTCTTACTCATCCGATCTCTGTCCACCAAACCTCACTGCTTACGGAAGGCTGCTGTGGCTGCATGTACTTCTGGGCCACTCATTTCACACTGGCTAGGCTAGCATCTGACTAACACTTGGCAAGAGGGTCAAGCAAATGCCGAACTGTAAGAGGGTCAAGGTAATGGCAGGCTATTAATAGGCAATCAGATGCTGAGTTGATTTCAGCAGAGCAATTAACATTCATCCTAATAGGTTTGAGTCAGAGGCTTGCCTGGTCCAAGGTAAGCATGCATATGGACAGTAACTGCCTTCATACACAGATGACAGATTTCGCTAGATATATATAATGGCATCAATGGGGCATTCACACTAGATAATGATCTCCTGGGACTGGATAAATGCCAAGATGAACTAGAGAAGCATTTGGTGTGTTTCCTTTTCCATCACCTTCTCTTCATTGCCAGCAGACAATGTTTTGTTTGCAACCATCAAATACTATTATTTCAGCCTCGCACGTTAAAGCTGATTTGCCCCACTCTTCCTTCAAGCGGCTCATGGCGGGAGATATGAGATTATCCCATTTTATCTTCACAAACATGATAAGGGCAATAGCGACTGGTGTACGAGGGCAGAGCCAGGAAGCCATCCTCTCGACACCGAGGTCGCTGCAGCTTACCTGGACAGCAGTGGGGTGGGAAAGTGGCAGAAGTCAAGGCTGGGCAGACACATCAGTGGAAGTGCTGCCAGTGCATCTATGCAGCCCTGACCTCACCACCTGTACCAACTCAGCAACAACTAGGTAAGCTGCAGCAACACTGGATTTTGGTGGGGTGGGGGGCAGCTCTGCCTCACCCCACCAGCCACCACTATAAGGCCAGGTTCAAGGTTCTTGTCTTAATGCAAGACCATTGCAACTTGGGTCCAGGATACCTTGAGGACTGCCTGATCACTAGGGTCTTGGGGGGAGTCACTGTTAGTTTTCCCTCATGGCTGAGAGACATGGCTCACGTCCACCCGGAGCTGTGTGTTCAGTAATGTGGGCCCGATTTTGTAGAACTCCATTGCAGCTGAGGTCCAGCACGATCCCTTCCTTTGGCACTGCTGACACCAACTGAAGACATCATCATCATCATTCCAGAAAGCATTTTAACTTATTTTTATCTTTGTTGTATTGCTGAGTTACTTGTATACCACTTAGAGACGGTTGTAATTAAGTGCTATATAGCTTACCAAAATAAATATAAACAATAAAAATTGCCTCTCTCATACTGTATTCCATAGCCCCCTATGCTCCTGTTGGCACTTACCCACCTCTCCATTCCCTGAACTTCCCGAAGGCAGGGACAGAACAGGGATAGCAACACTGGCACTGCACTGTAGTTAAATACAGCTTCGAAAAGGCCTGCCCCAAATAACCGGGACTGTATTAGGCAAACTTTGGATACTGCTCTTTTTCTCCTTCTGCCAGTTTTGGCTTACACCACTGTGCTATTTTATGGAGGCTGCGCATGAAGGGTATGGAATAGTTAAAGGGAACAAATCCTGGACATTCTATCTATTAAAATCAAGAAGACTTCTCCCAACTTGGCATGGAAAATTTAACACAGAAAATCATCAGTACAAAATGGCTGAGATGCAGAAGACCCTTTGTTCCCTCAATAGGCAAATTTCTCCTGTCTGTGGCTACTATTTCAGCCCAAAGTGGCTGTTCAAAGGAAAAGCTCCCACATGTTCAGCAAACGTGTGAAGTGCAAGAGGGACTGCCTCACTAGCCTGACTCACAACACACCCCCTGGCAGCCTCACATACAGCATCTGTCCAAGTGCAAAGGACCCCTTTTGGGTGTATGCTGCACATGCAGGTGCCAAAGGGGCCTGGGCCACTGGGTTTATCAGCATCAGGGGCAGGACTAAAAGAGGCTGCCTTTCTTCTTCTTCCTGCATTTACTTAATACTGGAGAGGTTTTCTTGTGAGCAGTCCTACAGCTGACCTTGAATCTGCCATTTTTTGAATCTGTACTGTCAGTGCTTTGCAACAGCTCCTCATTTATTACAGAGCCAGATAAAAGTTCATTTTGGTTCAAAGTTAATATTTGCATGCTTGCTTATACACTGTGCGAAGAAGCACAATATACAATGAGGGTGTACATTAATTTCCTGCTTCCATGGCATGTAAATTACAGCAGGAACCATGACCTAAAATTTCTGTGCTTTTTGGTTCAGGAGCAAATTGGGAAGTACCTTAACTCTTCTATTTGACCAAGGAGTGGAGAACCTGATCTGTATCAACCCTCTTCATATGGGAAGGCTATGCCACCTGAACATGTATAGCGTAGCTGCTCTCTCCTATCCTACCAAACTGCGCCCAGTCTCTGTGCTTCCTCTGTTTGCTGTCCCAGTCTGGAGGGATATGAACTTGCCATTATAACTGTACTTTGGCTGCAAATAGCCTGAGGAAGGTAGTCTTGTGCTACACAGATCTGTATTCTAAAACCAAAACATGTTCAGTTAAAGTCAGGCTGGGCAACCTCTGGCCTGCATGCCAAATCTGCCTCAACCAGGGCCCCAATTTGTCCCGTGATGCCATTTCCATGAAACCACACCTACCAGCATCACACCTGACATGACTAAGTTCCCTGTGGGGAACTGAGGGGAATTCAACTGCACAACCCATCCCTACAGAAAGCAAGCAAGAAGTCACTGCCTATCAGCTGATAAAAGCCTGCTGATGAATGGCACTTCAAAACACCACACTGGGCTCTTTGCTAATGTCACTGTGACATCATGTAATTGACAGGTGGGCATCCTGCTCAGCTATCAGATTTGGCCCCCTGAGAGGCCAGGTTCTCTGCCCCTCAGTTAAAGAAAAGAGTTAGGGTACCTGGACTTTCCCATTTGCTCATGGACCAAATGATGGGAGTTGTAGTCCAACAATATCTGGAGGACACCCACACCTGCCCAAGTTTCTCCCCGCCCCCCCAAAAAGAAATTGTAATCAGAAGGAATTATGCAACTTGAAAAAAATTCCCATAATGTTGTTATTAAGGTTAGAAGCACTCATTTTTTTTTATAGTTCCACAGAAGTCTACATCCTCTTTACTTACTATAATGGAGTGCTCCTTTTATTTCCAAGAACTCTCTTTTGTGCAACAGAATTTATTTTATGACATTGGAAGAGTTCCCAAAGTGCACACTATATTCCTATGACTCCATAAATGTTTGATATATTTTCTAATCAATAGTGCATGCATCATTTTGTGCTCAAGTTACGAACCCCTGAGCTACATTTTTCAGTGTTTAATGTCACTGGTTCAAATTATGTTCTCAGTAACACTGGTGTAAATCTGGAGTAGAATTAGCCCACATGTGTATTAAGCCAAACACAGAGTGGCATATTCAATCTTTACAGATAATATAGAAACTGAGAGTATTGCTATGTTTCCCTTTACTTCCCCTATCCAGCTAAGTTCAGAACAAGAAAACAAACTGAAATCTTAGCAAAATATGTCAAAAGCAATGCAAAAGCAAATATGTCACATGTAAATTACACTGAATCCTTGAGTTGAATGTATTGTTTTACTTCCATGATGACTAGCCCCATAAACAATATATGGATACAAGACACCTGCAGCTGAATATAGTATTTGCTTAAATACATGTCCTTCTTTACACTCAGGTGTTCTTTCTCTAATTACAGATTTGCCTTTTGGTTTATTTTTTTTCAGTCCCAGAGAAACAAGAGCACATGAACTGGAGCAATCCCTACACACCTGTTGCTAAGTGATAATTGCATAATCCAAGCATGAACACTTGGGTCAGATGTGGAAAATGTGAAATCACGACAGACAACACAATTTGAATATGCTCTGAAACTCAAAGCTCTATAGACAAGAGGATAGACAGAGTCATTTCTGATATAAGCCAAGGTCATAATTTGGCCCCCACATCCACAAGCGTCAAATGACAGCGTATGCCACCCAGCTAGCAAAGTTTAAATATTTATTCACATTACAGGGAAAGAAACACGGTGAGATCCACAAATTAAATGCTAGCACACAAGAAACGTGATGCAGCTTGCAAACCTGCATCGTCATACATTTACTCAAGAGCAGTCCTCCAATAAGAGAGTATGCAACAAGGGCCTTGCAACAGAATGAAGTCCACAGGATCAGGTCAGTTTAAGCAGTTTGTATCTCAAAGTGCATTGGGTTTGTTCTTTTTTTTGTCATGTATTCTGCTCTTTAAAATACCTATGGGAGGGGGCTGTAGTTCAGTGGTAGAGCACCTGCTTGGCCGGCAAATGTTCCAGGGTTCAATCCTCAGCATCTCTAGGGAGATTGTGGAAAGCCTTGTGCATGGAACCCTGGATAGCTGCTGTCAGTCAGTGTAGGCAACACTGAACTGGGTGGATTGATCACCCATGTTTCTAGCAGCCCTCTGCTGCAGGGAGCAACCACTCCCATCCCACACTTCCAGGACCAGGTCACATTGCAGCAGGCACAACAATCACAGGCTCTGGATAAAATACCTTGCGCAGTGCCCCTTCCACTATTTTCTCCCACTTTGTTCTAAGCAGCCTTTTTCTTTTTGGACGTGTGTGCGTCTTTGGGTTTAGCCCTTCCCCATTTGCAAACAAGCAACTTTGGGACATGTCATGTGAAAGTGAAACGTACCAAATATGTCCTCTGCAGCTTCCTAGTTATTCAGCTTGCAGTCTCTGTGCATTATCTTCTCGTGCTCAATGACCCGAGGAGGAGGAGGAAGGAGAAAAATTGAGGGAAAAGAAAAGGAGGTGGGTGGGTGGCTGGCTGGGGCAGAAGTCCAGCCTCGCATGATCTAACACCCTTGTGCAAACGATCGCATATTCTTGGAATCCGAGGGCCACAATCCACTCCCGAAATCCGGATTCCCTAGCCCAGAATGAAATCGGAGCAAGAATCGGAGCCACGACACCGCGCAGAGGAGAGTTTTATTTCCTGGTTTCCTTAAGGGCGCAAGGAAGTCTCTCTGCTCTCCTTTAACCCCCTCGGTTCCGCTCCGGATTCGGATCGGAGGAAATCCCTTTTCGCCTAGGTCCCCCCAGATTGCAAAGAATCATGGAATCACAGGAGCCTCGGTTAATAACAATACCAGTAACAACAATAACACCACCACCAGTAACGCCCTCCTGGAACCTGTCGGGAGCTTCTCTGGATTGCAAGATACGCCCGCACCCAAGGCAGGTGTCTGCCCCAAAGGACCACCTCCAGCTGCTGCAAGTGTTGCAATACGACACAGAGAGAAAGGGAGACAGGGGGACGATCCCAACCCCACCTCCCCAAAGCGAACAGGGCAGGCGGCTGGCAGGGAAATCGCATTGTGCTCAAACAACGAGCGCAGGTTTCGCGCAGGACAGGGTCCCTGGCAAAGGAAGGGGGCGTCAGTCAATCACTTACAGCGCAGCTCCCAGCAATAGCGGCGGCGGCGGCAGCAGCAGCAGCAGCAATATGTCTCCCTGCGCCTCTCCCTCCCCACTTCGCTCAGCCGCCGTGTAAACTGGAACAAGCCGACTGTAATGTGCATGAAGTCCCACAATGCACAGCGCAGCGCTCGTCACATCCCCTCCTTTAAATCGGCGCCCAGGCCTGCCGCCTGCCACGCCGAGGGGCGCGCGGCGTGAGGGAAGGAGCGCGGCAGGAGAGCCGTCGCCGCCTCCTCCTCCTCCTCCTCCTGCGCTGCAGCCGCCGCCGCCGGCTGAGGAGGACACAGGCGGGGCCTTGCTCCGCAGTCGCGCCCCTGAGACCCCCGCCCCATCCTCGCAGGGAGAAGCCAATGGCGTGGAGTTGGGAGGGACACAGCGAATCCGGCCGTTCTCTTCCTCTGCCGCTTCGACTCCTCGCAGTGGGCTCCCTTGGCTGCGGCGCCTCGGGAGAGCCCCAAGGCGCTAGTCCCTAAGAGGCGGTCGCTGAAGAGCAGCGGATCAGGACCGGTGTCTAGACTCGGCTTAGTCCTCCCCCTTCGGATAACTGGACGTGCGCGCAGCCCTCCCCTCTGTGCAGGAATAGCACCTGCGCCTCGCTCCCCACCTGTCCGGAGAGAGGCAGCGGGGTCGCCACTCGCTTGCCCAACAAAGTGCGCAAGAAACATCACTTACTATAGTTTTCCCTGCTGGGACCCATAATAAAACACTTGCTGGGTTAGGCCCAGGGCCCATCTAGTGCAACACCCTGTTCTCATAGTGGCTGTAGAAAGCCTGCAAGCAGGATATGGGCGTAATAAGCACTTTTGACGCAAAGTACACAGCCATCGTGGCTAGCCAGCCTCTGTGAATTTGTCTAATCTTCTCAAGCTATCCATGTTGATGTCCTGTGGTAGCAAATTTCATGTTTGTGAGAAGTTCTTTTGTCCGCCCTGGATCTTCCAACATTTGTATGACACCCCACGTTCAAGTATCATGGGTACAAGAGAAAAACTTATAATTTTATACAGCTAAAATGCCCTGTTTACTCGCCTCCCCCCCCCCCCCATGTAAAAGCCCCAAACCTTTGCTCACAAGACAGTTGCTCCAGCGCCTTGGTCGTTTTGGTTGCTCTTTTCTGAACCTTCCCAGCTCTACAATATCCTTTCTGAGATGAGGCAACCAGAACTACACAGTATTCCAAGTGTGATCACTATAGATTTGTGCAACACCATTATTCACATTAATAATAATCTTTAACATGGAATCCATCTTTTTCACAGCCATCAGACACCAAGTCAAGACCTTTATCACTAGAACTACAAGGCTTTTTTCCTGGTCGGTTCCAATCCCATTAACCAATGTGCATCACTTTGCACTTAAATAATATTTCACCCTTTACATACCAGCTCCCTCACTTTGCAGGGATCCTGTGGGAACTCACAACCACCAACAATCCTGGACACCCCTAACTTCAGTTTATGGCAAAAAATAGCCGCTTCTGCTTGCTCACCTGCCATCTTCCACTGGGCATTGGTGAGAGTAGGACCCAGCTAAACCTTGGCACTGTTCATGCCTGCTTACCAGGAAGTGAGAAAACGACTGACTATGGCAAGGGACAGCCACTGCCTGCCCTCTCCCTCTATGCTGTACTGGAAAGTAACACCCCAGGCCTAATTCCAGGTAAAAAACCCCACCATCCTTCCCAGAGAGAGTGCAAAAGCTGCCACAGCTTTCCCCCTCAATTGCTCGTCACCTGCAGTCTCCCAATAGGGCAGGTAAGGGAATGGGGCGTACTGCTCACTTGCCTGCAATCTCTGGCCAGCTCAGCAATTGAAAACACTGTCACTGGATAGCAGGGCAGCTTCTTTCTGCACTATCAGAGCAGGAATAAGGACCTCCAAATGTTGGACTCATCCAAGAGCCGGTGTGGTGTAGTGGTTAGAGTGTTGGACTAGGGAGAGCAGAGTTCAAATTCTCAGTTAGCCATGAAGCTCACAGGGTAACCTTGGGCCAGTCATCCACTCTCAGACTACCCTACTTCACAGGGTTGTTGTGAGGATCAAATGAGGAGAGGGAGAATTGTGTTCTTCACCCAGAGCTCCTTGGAGGAAAGGTGGGATAAAAATGTAATAAAAGCGAATAACAATATTTTAAGAAAACAAGCACATTCAGTACATACATTTTTTAAAAAATTTAAAGGACAATTCTTTTTTTAAAAAAACTAGATTAAAATAAGACACCCACACAAAAAATACAGATAATTAAAAGCCAAAGGTCTGATGAAAAGGAATGCTTTTTGCCTGACACCTAAAGCTATGCAACAATGGCACTGGGGGGGGGGGGGCCTCCCTGGGAATTATGTTTCACAAGCAGGAAGCCACCACTGAAAAGGCCCAGCTTTGTGTTTCCACCCTCCAGACCTTGCATGGAGGGAGCACATGAAGATGGGTCTTAGATAATGACTGCAGAGTCCTGGTCAGTTTATAGGGGGATAGGCAATCCTTGGGGTATTGGGGTCCTGAGCCATATGGACTTTATAGGTCAAAATTAGCACTTTGAATTTGGGCTATAGTCTGCCCCTAGTAAGGACAAACTGATTGAATCTCCAGATTAACACGGGAAGCACCTGGTGTAGAAGCGCCTATAGAAATTCTCCTTTTCAGCCAATCATATCTGAAACCATCAGCAGCTGCCCCCCCCCCCCGTAATACAGAAACTCAGTCCCTTTGCCTCTGATCATCCCACAATAGCTTCCTGTTGTTTTGCTGTGAGTACATTATTTGATACATCCTACAATTCAAATTAAATCCCACAGTATTCAGTTTGGACCAGAGGTAGCTTCCAATGCTTCTGCAAAGTGGACTTTGTAGGTTAGTGTGAGATGAGGTTGGGATGTTAAGGATCAGTGATTTATTAAAACTGACCTTACTGTAAGCAGCCCAGGACTCCTTAAAGCTGGCACAACATACCATAATTGCTTGTTCTGCCAGTTCTGATTGATTTTGCATCCTGCACCCAGTTCTTTGCAATACCCCACTCATTCTGCTGCATCCCCCTGCATCACATTGCAGGCCTTTCCTGAAGTTCTCCTCCTCTTCAGGGGGGCTCTTTCAGAAGTGCAGGGTGGGTGGGTGAAGGCAGGAGAAGAAGGTGGGAAAGCTCCATTGCACAAGCAGCCTACTGTTCATGTGACATTAGACAGAACAACCTGATAGTAATTTTTTTGTATTCATGAGAAGTTCGTTGTGATTCATTTGAGGGAGAGAAAGCGTATTGCTGTAAACCTTTGTATGTTTTGTACAGGGATGTGCAATTAAAAACAGGAGATAAGCTTAAGGTCACAAATTTGCAATCACTTTGTTATAGAGAATTAAAGCAATAGCAGTTCTACAAAGTGGATGGCAATATAATTCTTCAGAAAACTGAAATGATCACAGTGGATGGTACCATTGAAAACAGAAGGGGATCGTGTTCAACTTAGTAATTAACCCATCATCCTGCAGGCACAAATGCTACTAATCAAAAATAGAACACCAGAAATGCAAGCTGTTACTGAAACATAATGGATTGACTCAGAGCTTTTTTAGAGAAATATTCTGGGGTAGGCGTGGATGGAGATGAACTCGAGGACACTTGAAAATCACGCAAAATGGCTTCTTTAATGTTCATGGTGAATAATTAAACACACATTTAACTAAGTAAATAAATCAATAAATGCAACAAACATGTATTTTCATAGTAAATTATTGTAATTTAAAGAAACTTGGCATTTAAAATTTAACTAAAAATGTCCAGAACTACATTTTTTTAAAAAACAACAACAAACTCCTGTTCCACATAAATCTCTGGAACAGACTGCCATTGCCTCATGTCTCTGTTTGAAAGAAAGTAAGCAACAGCAGGCAGGGATCATATAGGCTGCGCCAATCCCATTCAGATCTATGTTTAGGCATGCATTAACTGTCTGTAGTGTCTTACTTATTGTTGCAAGCCACCCCAGTCTCTGAACAGTGCAAGATTCCAGGGGTTCCAGACTCTTACCCGGGGTTTGTGTTTCCTTTTGGAAATGAGACACAGCAGAGACTGTAATGGCTTATTTAAATATACAGTGGTACCTTGGTTGTTGAACTCAATCCATTCGAAAACCAATGCACAGCTTCTGATTGGTTGCAGGAGCTTCTTGCACTCAATTGGAAGCCGTGTTGGACGTTCGGCTTCCAAAAAACGTTCGCAAACCAGCACACTCACTTCCGGGTTTGCGGCGTTTGGGAGCTGATTTGTTTGGGAGCCAAGCTGTTCAAGAACCAAGGTACCACTGTATTTACACCCTTTGCCTATGTTGGAGGGGTTTGCAGTATCAACACCCCAAAAGGGTCTTATTTCGCTCATAGCCACAGCCTTGGATTCAAGTAGAAATCGAACATCTCTTGGTCTCTCTTTGGCTTCCCAGTCTGCATTTTTGCATTCCATTCTACATCACTGTTGCAGCGCTCTCTCGGCTCAGCCCCCAGTGTGGGCAAACCAGTTGCGCTCCCCTAAATCTACCTCTGCTGATTGCCTTGCTAGTTCTTGATTTTAATTTAGTGTCGGATTTCTCTTTGGAAAGAGAAAGAAGTATGGAATTAATATAGTACAGAGCTGTGATCTTGTTTGTTACAGTGATTGCCCTCCAAATTGCATTTATTAGACACAGATTCACACTGAATGTAGTAAGAGGTTTGCTGACCCAGTGGGCATTTGAGAAGACCCTGTGCCTTAGGAACACATCTGGACTCCATCTGCTGCTCCTATACTTACCAATATATATAAAAAACATGCAGGCATACCAGCATTTCCCCATTGTAAGATTATTCTGTTGCAAAAGTTGAATCATGCAGTATTTTTTCCAGGCACAAATATAGTCAGTCAATGTCTGTATTGTGGTTTCCTCCCCTAGACCACTAGGCTACTATTGTTTCAATGACCTAGAGATCTTGAATTTTTTCAGCCATATATTAGACTATTGTTGACTTCCTCAGTTTGGGGGTAATGTTCCCAGTGATTTCTGAATATCCTGGTGATGTGTTTTTAGTCTGTGATCAAGTGAATCACAAACTTCAATGTAGCCGAGTCCCTTAATTGGAAAGTTTCTTTGCAAAGAATGGAAAAACTGATTCTAATCAAAATACTTGATAATAAAGTTTGAGCATGTTTCTAGGATCTTTATTCTATGTCACTGGAACCTTGTAAGGATAACAAAATCCTTTATCCAAACCATCTGGCTACCCACACCTTTGGAATGT